GTCAAATCCTGACCATCGCCCAAAACCAAAACACCCACGACAGCAACACCTTGGTCAAGCATTCGTCAGTCTCGTACACGCAGCCCGACGCCATCTTCACCTGCACCCCTCCGGCCACGCAAATCGCCGCCTTCAACACCGGCTTCGTCATCCTCCACTCCAACGGCACCGTCTCTACCTTTGGCGACTCTCGTTTCGAAGCCTGTCTAGGAAGAGACATCGATCCGCCAAACCGGTAAGCTCTTCACCCCTACCCCAAAAGCAGCAAGCCCTCTCTCCTCCTCGCCGGCCGATTCCGGACCCTTTTGTCCCAGAACTGACCCCCCAAAAAAGACCGTCTGAAACTCCGGGCCCGGTACCCGATCTCCATGAAGTCGCCTCGGCTGACGATCCCGTCAAATGCGTCACGGCTGGCGGAACCGCCGTTGCGGCTCTGACGACGAGCGGAAGTGTCTACGTATGGGGCTCTTCTACTTCTTCGTCGACGGCGTCAGGCAGTTCTCATCATCGTCATCGCCGAGGACATGTTTTCCGGCAACTCTCCGGCATGCCCAACTATACGGAAATCGGCGACGGGAAAGACGTCGTGGATGTTGCCCTTGGAGAGTCACATGCCATCGCACTGACAGCGGATGGACTCGTATACGTCATTGGTGAGAATAACAATGGCCAGCTTGGGATGGGCAAGGCCATTGAGAGGGCAGAAGAATGGATCAATGTGCCCTTTAATGCTGCTGACGGTTCCAAGATAGTAGGAGTAGCAGCTGGTCCACGGACATCCTTTATTCTAACAGCCAAGGCGTAGTCTCACCAGACCATGGTTAAGATATAAGAAAGAAATCACCCTGGCCTGATACTAATTATTTGGGTGGGGATTACTTGACGCAATATTACAACGCATGACAGACATCATGACTTTACGCTTCAGCCTATTCACCCCACCCCCCCATCAAGCAGTATTGCCATGTGCCAAATTCTTTTGTTTATTAAGCTTTATGCCTCATTATTGTACATCAAAGCCTGCGTCATCATCATACCGTGTACGGGCACGTCTATCATAGACTTGACAAGTAATCCTCAATCTCCTGGGGAGTCAACTTTCTAAACCTGGGGCCCGTGGCGCCCTCCACTCCCTCAACGCCCAGCAGGTGGTCAGCGGGGGGACCGACAATGCCTGAGAAAGAAACATGGGTTAGAACAAACATCACTCATTATAGAAACCTTTGTGAAAAAAGAAGAGTGACATACCAATCTCGATGGAATCTCCGCTCATCTCACCCTCAATGTTGTCCTTGAGCGTCAACAGGGCAATGTGGATGGCGTCCTCCAGCTCCAGCTCTTCCGAGTATCGCTTCTCCAAAAAGGTCTTGGCCTTGGTCGCGCTCTTGCCAATGGCCGTGGCCTTCCAGGGGAAATAACTTCCCGTCGGGTCGACCTGGTACAGCATGGGGCCTCCCTTGTGGATGCCGCCCGTCTTTTTTGTCTTCTTCACCTCCTCGCCCTCCTTGGCCTCCGTCTCCTCCTCTTCGGGGTCGATGCCCTCGTCCCAGCCGGCAATCAGCATGCTGACGCCGTATGGCCGGACACCAGCCGACTGAGTGGCCTCCTGCATGACCCTGGCCACGTCCTGCACGAGTATTCTGGTGGGAGGGTATTCGTTGTAGATGCGCTTGTAGCCTGTGTGGGAAACCTTGCGCGCTCGGTCGACGAGTACTCTGTAGTCGGGGCCCATGCCGGAGTAGACGGTGCCGATGTTGGGGGTGATGTGGCTAATCTTGGACAGGCTGCTCTGGTCGGCGAGAGGGGAAGACGACTTCTTTTCGGTGGCGAGGACGATGCCATTCGTAGCTGCGTATTTGCGCCATTAGCTAGCTGGTCCCCTCCAAGGGGAGTTCAGTTCAGTTGCGGCATACCTTTGATACCCAGAGCAGTGATGCCCTGGTTGACCGCATTCAGAGCATACTCTGCGGGGCAGATTCTACATGTCAGCCTCGTTCCAAGTCATTCGAGCCAAGCCATGCCATGCCATTCGGTGTAATAGACTTGGCCGCCGAGTCGAGGGGAGTGCAAGTGCATACCGATTTGCACCAGCTTGCCGCTATCAACGAGAGCCAGTTAGCAGAGGGGTCGTTTGGGGCTGGAGATGACATCAACCTGCGTACCTGGGCGAGAACGTTGTGAGGGAGAAGGAGTATCTGTCCGCCATGGCTGGATGCCTATCGATAGTCTACCGGGTTGATTGTGAATCTGAATCTGCGGTGCTCCAATGCTCTGGTTTGCTAGTGCTAGAGTTGAAGCTATTCTGAGCTGCCCGGCCATAATACAATCCCACCCAGCCAGCAGGCACACTGAGCTGCGCGTCAAGCTTGGGCCAGGCAGTTTGGCGGGCGGACTTTTACTTTTGCCGGACTCCGGTGGGGAGCTCCCTCTTGCACCCCTTGTTCCTTGTCCGTCTCGACTAAGCCAAAGTAACTTGTGCCACCAGCTTTTTTCCTTTGACAAATTTCCACCAGCAAAATATCACCGCTGCCACACAGCCGGAGAATTCGGCTAGCTGGGCTGCTCGGAATGTGACGCGCAAGGCGATGAAGTGGCCTCTTTTATTTCATCTGTGTGAAGCCTCGGCGCGTACCTTTTTTTCCGTCTCTTCCCCGCGTTGCTGCCTGGGTAACCAGCCGGTTTGCAAAACTCTGTATGCCATGTGAAGCCACCACGAAATCGAACTTCCAAAGCCGTTTTTTATTTATTTACCAGCTCTTACCCCTGTCGTCAAAGGCTCATCACCGAATTTGGGCATCACAGCCAAGATGGAGTGGTTTGGAGAGAGGGTGCGGACCCCGTACCAATCGTCGGTTCACGAAAAGACATCCACCACCGCCTATCACGAGGAACAAACAGGATCTGACCGCACGAGAGAGTATACATCTTCGCACGCTCAGCCGCCGCCAGACACTGCACGCAGACACAGGCGATATAGGCCACGGACATGTCGGATTTGTCTGGATACCGTGGAACCAAAGTATCCCGCCAACTCGTCCAAGTCGAGCAAGCCAACCTATGTGTCTGACGACCCCGAGCTGGGAAGGCTGCTGTCTCCCTGCAAGTGCAAGGGATCGCAGAAGTATGTCCACGAGGGATGCCTCAATTCTTGGCGACTCTCGAATCCGACAGTCAAGAGAAATTACTGGCAATGCCCGACGTGCAAATTCTCCTACCGGCTGGTGCGCCTTCATTGGGCCTCGATGCTAAGCAGCAAATGGGCTCAAGCTGGCCTGACATTGGTAATCCTCCTGACAAGCATCTTCTTTTTGGGGTTCATGGCCGACCCGATCCTCAACCTCTGGGTCGATCCTTTCGGCACTGTCAGTGACGCCGTCACCAGCGTCGTCACAGACATTGAAGCCATCAAGGAACCCGACTGGGAACCACCGACGACCTGGGGTGAGCACTTTCTCAAGGGCTTCTTCTCTCTGGGGCTTGTTGGCATCTTCAAATCCATGATTGCACTGTCGCCGTGGCATTGGTGGAACCTGCGCAGCTTGACGGGGACCAGCAGGCGCCAAGGGGGAAGGGCCAGAGTGGAAAACATTAGCCTCGTGTTTGTGATTATCGGAGCCTTTACTGCCCTCATGGGAATCTGGAAAGGAGTCAAGAAGCTGAGTGAGCGCGTGCTGAAGAATGTGAGTGAGAGAGTCTTGGACGTCGGCGGAGACGACGGTGATGTTGATGACGACGACGAGGGAATCCCGAACGGGAACAAGGATATATGACGACACTTTATGCTCTCCTCTCACGACAATCTTGTACATTATGTTGCTTTTCATGTTGCCCATCTGCACACTCTTAAGTTGCCTCGAACTCGCTCTTCCGTGTCAAGTCAACTAGTCTGCGTGCAAATAGCGACGCTCCACCAGCGCCTTGAGCAGAGGCCGTCTTGGTTCTCTGCTCGCTGGCCTGGTGTGAGTTGCCGGTACGATTTGCGCGCGTCGAAGATGCCCGTCTGGGTTTTTGGAGACGTCGCCATTCCTCTGAGCATCTGTTCCGTACGCCCTCAGTACAACCACCCTTGAGCAGCATCATTGGAACAGCCGGCACAACCACAATACATGGCATGATGGATTTTGATGTCATTTTCCTCTTGTCGAGTTTAATTACTAGACGGATTGATCAACCCCTTGGCGTATGATATGAAAATACCTGTGCTCATTCATTGTAACGTAATCTAGAGCACTTGAAGCATCCGTGCGGTACCTGCATATAAATCGCAATCACAGGCGGCCTTTGTTACTCGGCAACAGCCACGTTGTTATCGCAAGTCAGCCCTACCCAGGTACCTTATTGTGCTCGATAAGTCCAATGATAACACCTGAATAACATCTCCTGCTTGGTACTAGCCCGCAATCATGGCAAATCAGCCCGTATGCAGTAATACGAGAAAGGCGCAAGGATCCGGCTCGCCGTTTGCAACCCAATGATACTGGACAGTACAGCATTGGCTGGGCCGGCGATTCGTACTCCCGGCGCCGGGTCCAGCGCAGCGCCTCGTGTTCCAAAGGTGAAGGTACCCCAAAAAAAGACCCCTAGCAATGGCCACAAATGTCATAAGCATAAGGATAAGGGATCGCCATCGCCTCACCGCGCGCGAACGCCTTTCGCAGCGGCCCGTCTTTTGCTTTTGTAACTCCATCACCCGCCACTCGTTTGATTGATCAACGACCGAATCGTCGGAATCGCTCGGCTCTGCTTATCGGCCGTCGCACAGCTGGCCTCAGGAACCTTCAGATCAGGAGAAGCGTTGAACTTGCTCCTCCTAACCCGCTGCATCCCGTATCCTCCGTCCTTCCAACCACGGCGTGATTTGCTGCAGGACTTTGGGGAGACGAGAAACGAAGAAGAGAAATTGAATTGGCCAAGTCGATCCTCTTGGCAATCCAGCCGCTGAGCCCGCCCCCAGTCCATCTTCAGCTCGTGCCGCTTCGGGGCAAAAGACAAACGACAAGATGCATTTCGCATATCCCAACCGCAAGAGCTCCAACCCGCCGCCCTTCCGGCCTCGATCCTCAAGGCTGCCTGGCCTGCGGAGGAGCCGCATCAAGACCATTGGCATTGGCCTGTTCATCGTGCTTGCGGTACTTTGGTTCTTCTCCAATCCCCGAGTGCCGCGCCCCGATCACGAGCGCGTGCCTTCTGGCCAGCCGCCCGTCGTCGTTGTGACCGTCATCGACCCGACCCAGTACCCCAATTCCTACCTCAAGACGGTCAAGGAGAACCGCGAGCAGTATGCCGCCAAGCATGGTGGGTAGCCCCTCACTCATTCAGACCTTCAACTCGTCCATCGCTGACATGCGGGAAATCACAGGATATGAGGTACTTGTGGTGAGAGCCTTCGACTACGACACCAAAGGAGCGCCGCAGAGCTGGTCCAAGCTTATGGCCATGCGACATGCGCTGGCCAAATTCCCCGAGTGCAGGTTCGTTTGGTACCTCGACCAGGACGCCTACATCATGGACGTGAACAAGTCATTGGAGGAGCATCTGCTGGGGCAACGGAGGCTGGAGAGCCTGATGATCAAGAACTATCCCGTCGTGCCACCGGACAGCATCATCAAGACGTTCTCGCATCTTAGGGCAGACGAGGTCGATTTTGTTGTCAGCCAGGATACCTCGGGCTTGGTGGCCGGCAGCGTCGTGGTGAGAAACAGCCAGTGGAGCAAGTTTTTCCTCGAGACGTGGATGGATCCTCTGTACCGAAGCTACAACTTCCAAAAGGCCGAGAGACACGCTCTGGTGAGTTTTGACACCAACTGAAGGCAGAGGAACCCTGGAAGCAAAGGCTAATCTAGACTACAGGAGCACATTGTCCAATGGCACCCCACCATCCTCTCGAAGCTGGCGCTCGTGCCACAACGCATCCTCGGCCCTTACACGCGCACCGACAAGGGCGACGCCTACCAAGACGGCGACTTTGTCGTCATGTTCAACGGCTGCACCAAGGAGGGTGTCTTGAGCTGCGAGACCGAGTCGGCAACCTACTACCAGAAATGGAGCTCGGCGTTTAGGAGCTAGAAAGGGAGAGCGCGAAATAGAAGCTGCTCAAATCTATCACTACCATACCGTGCGAAAGTGAGAAGACCCAATCGGGAGGGCGACCTTTGGGCAAATCAACAGAATAAAAGAATGAAAAACAGGGGAAAAAAGAAAGAAAGATATAAAACAAACACTGGGAAAATATGGAGGGCGGGCGGGCGGCGGCGGCGGCAAGGGCACAAAAAACACTTGCGTAATACCGGCGTTCGTTCGGAGAGCATATATCCTCTGGAGTCTATATCCACGGCGTTTATCTGGGTTGACAACGTTGTTGCGTCGTTGACGGCTTTTTTTTGGAAGTGAAATCGGCAAAACTTTGACATAGAGAGGAGGGTAGCCAGCGAGTTGGAGTATCATCGAGACGAGGGACGGCTATTTGGAAGTATTAAAAGAGACGAGGACGGCTATACTTGGAAGTTATCACAGAAAGGGGGACGGCTATACTTGGAAGTATCATGGAGACGAGCAAGGACGGCTATTTGGGAGTATCAAGGGAGGGAGGGAGACGGAAATATAAAGCAAAAGGGCACGCTTCTTTTTTTGTATTACGCTGATGAAGTTATGTCTTTCTGTCTTTGTCTTGTGTGTCGAGTATACTTTGGCATTTGGGGAGGCAAAGTATTTTTTTTTTTTTTTTACTTTTTGACTTTTTTTTTTTTATCTTTTGATAATCGATTTATATAATACTGCCTGGTATGCTGCTTTGGTATGAACAAGTGGGAGTGCTAGGTTGATGATGATGTCGTTGGTATGGGGGACGATGTTGGCTTGACTTGGATGCTCTGTATGTAGACAAGTAGAGTACAGAGCCGTCCTAGATATCTGAATACCGTGGAATATTCATGGCCGGCTAATGCATTACGATACGATATAGCAGACAAGATATTTTATGGACGTGATTATTCAGTTCCCCGCTATTCCATATGGTATACCGAATCTCAGGTTATTATCCATCCGATATCTCTATACAAATGTGATTGATGGTAGAAGAGCAATCTCAATCCAACGCCTACACTATCGATTGATCCCTGATGCGGTATTTTCTATAAACCAGCGGCAGCAACAATTACTCCATCGTATCCTTCATCCTCCGGCCCCAACAACACGAAAAATCCCACCATCTCATGTCCTCCCATCTTGCAATTCAATCCATTTCTTCCCGTTCCGTCTCCGGATTCGCGGCGTCCGCGGGTTTTTACGCCCTCCACCCTCTTCCTCTCCAGGTTTAGCGCAGTTCCCCGCCAGACATGTGAAGGTGCGCCCACTCATCGCACTAACCCCCATCGAGACGCCGTCTTGCACCTTTGGAAGCATCTCATTGGCCCAGCGGCTGTACTTGTTGCATGTATTTGCAAGCCGAGGTGGCAGGTTGGCTCTTTCCCGGGAACACGCATCATGTGTGGAATAGCTCGGCGGCTGTGGTTCTATCAGGTGGTGCCAGATACAAGTACTCTGCTGCAGGAGACTCGCGGCAATGGTACCTGTGCCTTGTGTAGCTCGTGTTAGTGGCAAGTTGCCTCAACTTTGTTGCTCAAGCAGCCAAAACTTGCCTCCTCCTCCTCCATCTGCCATACCATTCATCATTACATTCTCTCTTCAACGGGATCAGGTGAAATGCAGGCTTGGAGGCATTGATGCTCCAGCGATTACACGCGTCTGTGAGGAATTGATCGACAACTCAAGAGAAGGAAAAAAAAGGACGACAAGGAAGAACAACCGCCACGATGCCGGGCAGCTCGCGCATTCCGCAGAGCCTCCGCGGCAGTCTGGAGAGCGTCAAGCGCCGCAAACAGGCGCTGTCGCTCAACATGCTCAATCTCGAACTGTGAGTCGGTGACTGTGACTGTGACTGTGCTGTGCTGTGCTGTGCTGGGCAGGCCAATTGCGTTTCAATGGATTGATTGTCGCTGACGCTCACCAACAGCCTCAAAAACATCATCTTCTTCTACTTCGTCCTCCGGTGGACCCGGCGCCTGTGGTGGAAGCTCAAGGGCCGCGGCATCATCGGCGCCATCCTCGAGCTGTACCGCGACGTCGAACGAACCCTCTACGGCTACTTCTTGCGCGCTCCGGGCGTGCGCGGCCAGGTGCAGAAAAAGGTCAAGGAATCGCTCGACAAAATGTCCAACAAGCTGGTGCCCGCCGGCCAGACAAAGTACCTGTCGCTTCCCAAGGAGGGCCTGACGGACGAAGCCGTGCGCGCCGAGCTCGACTCGCTAGCAAACATGGATCACACCCGCTGGGAGGACGGCTACGTCTCGGGCGCCGTGTATCACGGCGAGGACGACCTGCTGAAGCTGCAGACGGAGGCGTTTGGCAAGTTTACCGTGGCCAACCCGATCCACCCGGATGTTTTCCCGGGCGTGCGCAAGATGGAGGCTGAGATTGTGAGCATGGTGCTCAACCTGTTTCATGCCCCCGTCGGTGCCGCCGGCGTGACGACGTCGGGCGGCACCGAGAGCATCCTCATGGCCGTGCTGTCTGCGCGCCAGAGGGCTTACAACGAGCGTGGAGTCACGGAGCCGGAGATGTAAGTTGTGTTTGCTTGTTTCTGCTTCCCACACGTAACTCGACGTAACGTGTCAAAAAAGTACACCGGGAGGCAAACTACGAATACTGATGCTCAAAACTCTTACAGGATCCTGCCAGCTACTGCGCACACGGCTTTCCGCAAGGCCGGCGAGTACTTCAAGATCAAGATTCACTACGTAGACTGCCCTGCTCCCACGTATCAAGTAGACGTCCGCCGGGTGGCCCGCCTCATCAACCGCAACACGGTGCTGCTGGTGGGCTCGGCGCCCAACTTCCCCCACGGCATCATTGACGACATCTCGGCGCTGAGCAAGCTGGCGCTGCGCAAGAAGCTCTGCCTGCACGTCGACTGCTGCCTCGGCTCGTTTGTCATTGCCTGCCTCGACAAGGCGGGCTTCGAGACGCAGCCGTTCGACTTCCGGCTCAAGGGCGTGACCAGCATCAGCTGCGACACGCACAAGTACGGGTTCGCGCCCAAGGGCAGCTCGACGGTGCTGTACCGGTCTGCCGAGCTGCGGTCGTACCAGTACTTTGTCTCGCCCGACTGGGCCGGCGGCGTCTACGCCTCTCCTGGGCTGGCGGGATCGCGGCCTGGAGCGCTGATAGCCGGTTGCTGGGCCAGCATGATGCGGCTGGGCGAGACGGGATACGTGGACGCCTGCGGCAAGATTGTGGGGGCGACCAAGAAGATTACCGAGGCGATTCAGAACGGCCCCGTGTTGAGCAGCGAGCTCGAGGTGCTCGGCAAGCCGATCGTCTCGGTGGTGGCCTTTTCGGCCAAGAACCTGGACGTGTACGACATTGCCGACGGCATGTCGTCCAAGGGCTGGCACCTCAACGCGCTGCAGAGCCCGCCGGCCATCCACGTAGCCGTGACGATGCCCATTGTCAAGGTGTGGGAGCGGCTGGTCAGCGACCTGGAGACGGTGGTGGAGGAGGAGCGCGAGAAGGAGAGGGTCCGGCTGGTGGAGGGCAAGGGGGCAAAGGGCAAGGCCATGGGCGACTCGGCTGCGCTGTACGGCGTGGCGGGATCGCTGCCGAACAAGGGGGTCGTTGTTGATCTGGCCACGGGGTTCCTCGATTTGCTGTACAAGGTATGATTTGTGACTTGTCGTGCTGTACTGTAAGAGTGTGTGCGTACGGAGTTTTTTGATTTACTGATGGGTTTGGTTTACTGTATACTGCTTTGTCTGCAGCATGGTTTTGGGGGGAATGTCTCGAATCTAGCAGTCTCTCCTTTTTTTTTTACCCTTTTGGCATTATCTATCTTATGTATCTTCTTCACCCTCTCCATGGAACTGGTTCTTATATGATGTGCTTTTGGAATTCACAGAGCAGCAGACGAAGAAGAGGGCGGAACCGGGAGAAAGGACTTGCATGGGCCACGTCCCTGTCGATGCCGCTGCCGGGTTGCACGACGCTGCCCTCCTGCTAGACACAGACACATACACAAGCTTGGACAAGATGCATGCCGTTGTCCAGTTTCGATCGATTGATTTCTCATCTGCATCTCCCCATCTGCGGGTATCCATTGAAATCACCCCCTTGGCATCGCACATGGCCCTGCCTCGCCTTACAAGGACACGTCTCGCCGTACTCGGCAATATACGATGGGATAATACAGCATCGGGGGAAGAGGAGGGGAGGGGAGGCAAACAAGTCCGAAAAGCAGGCGTGTCCAATCAAAGCGGCACACACAAGACAGCCTCACTTTTTGTTCGACTCCCATCTCCACCACCGTTTAGCTTCACCGCCCCTCTTTTATTCGCTGGCCTTGTTGTTCTCTCGAGCGTTGATCCGATGGCTTGTACAGTATTTGGCTGCGTGACTTGTTGGCAGACAAACGATGGTCCGGCCGTGATGGCTTGCAGCTTTTCTCGTTGGCGCTGCTCCTTGCAGGGCGAACGGGGATGCATGAACTGTCCTCGGTGCTGTGCGAGTGGTTTTTTCGCCCCCCCTTGATGTTCATTTTCTTCGGTCCTGCATTATGTATGTCTGCACTTGCTGATGATGCACATGTACGTCCCATCTACGGCTTACTTCCCCTTTCCGTACTATAAACAGCAACTAGGAGCAGCACATTGGCACTCGTTGGCTGGTCCACGTAGTCGTACATACGGACCTACATGCAACGTCCAGTACTCCGTACGTATGTAGGTACCAACTATCATTAGCATCTTACATGGACAATCTCGACACGGCAACGAGAAAAAGATTGAATACAGATACAGATACAGCGGCAGTGCATCGGCCCGGGCGAACGAACGACGGCAAAAAGGACATAGCGGGTGGCCGCACCGCACCGCCGATGCCCGAAAAGGAACAAGACGAAAAGGGACTGGGCGGTCCTACGTGGTCGCCTGAGGACGAGGCGATCGGCGAGACGAAGGCGAAGTTTGGGCCACTGCAGTGAAAATACATACTCGTACGAGTGCTAGATGGATGGATGGTCGTAGTTTTTGGGTTGGCAAAGTGTGCTAAGCTGAGGAGGGGAAAAGATGTGCAAATGACGGGGGGGGGTTGTGAATGATGCCGTGTAAGTCAGCTGTCTTGTCTCTCCCCTCTGTCTGGCCATCTCTACGAGTATCTGACTGCAGCACGGCAACTGTATGTAGGAGTTATGCAGGGCATATCGCAGCGCATTCATGCAGCATAGCATCAATTGATGTGCATTGACTGCTGATAAACGACCTATTCGTACATTGATGATGCGGAATGGGCTGAATACGGACGTCAACAGACTAAACCCGTCTTATACAGGCGCCGTCTCTGCCAAAGAAAAAAAAACAAGGCATTGGACAAGACCACCGCCCATGACGACATTGTCCCCAAACCAAGTTGACCAAATCGAACCCTTGTCAGTCAATGCTCTTCTCTCACCGTCACCGTCAATACCCAAAAAGCCCGAATGGCCACTAGACTGGGAAAACTACCCGAACCGAACAGAGACAACGGGCCTGAATAAATACGAGTAGGTAGCAGGGAGTCTCCTTTTTTTTCTTCTTCTTCAGCAATAGGAACTTGTCCGGGCTTACTGACTTACTTCATTGTTACACCAACTGCATCTCTTCTACCAACCAGCTCTAAAAAAGACAGGGGAGGTGCTGGGCTCGGATTGGGAGCTAGTGCTGGGCCTCTCTCTCTGCTTGGCTTGGACGTTGGTCACGGACGCTTGGACGTTCAGCAGGGGGAAGAGGCGAAAAGAGGGGGGCCAAAGAGGCAAAGCAAAGCAGTGGTGAGTTGAGGCTTGCAGATGGGATGGGAATGTGGCGAGGGCGAGTGGACGGACAACGCAGTGCAGTGCAGCTATTCGCGTCTCGCTACTGGGCTCTTGCAGCAAACGGGATTGATTGAGTGTGTTTTTTTTTTGTCTTTCGGCATGCGAGGAGGAGGAGGCAGCAATTGGAGGGGGAAATCCCGTCCATCATCTATTCTCTCTTTGTGCTGAGCCGTGCTGAGCTGTTTCTGTGTTGTGTTGCTGCTGTGATGCTTACTTGCCTTTGCCTTGCAGCTGTGTTGCGCTGCGTCCCTCACTTCACTTACACGCGTCGACTCACATCCGCAGGTACACATGAGAAAATACAGATGGCCCGATATAACAACAACAACAACAACAACAACAACAACAAACAATCCAACATCAATCACCTACAGCGCATAATCCTGCCCTGAAACAAAACCCCGTCCTCCTCCACCTGACTCATCAATCAAGCCCTTTCTCGTCACTTACATCACCTCACATGCACCTCAGCCCAACTCCCGCCACAAAGCAGCCCAACCAACCCAGATCCTCCACGCATCACGTTTCAAAAAGCCCATGATGCAAATCTTCTGGGTCCCCCCTCCCCCCCCCCCCCCCCGTTTCCCACACCCCCCCTGTCTCACCCAAAGAAAATTGCAAAGCGCAAAAAGGCAACCAGCAACCTCCAAGGAAGAAGAGAAAAAAAGGCGTATCGCCGTCGTTGCCAGAAACAGGCCCACCCCTGTATCACCCTGTTTGGCCAAACCCTGGTCTTGTGTCTTTTTCTTTTTTGGGATGATTCGCCTCAAACCCTTGTTCTTGCTGCTTGCTGCTTGCTGCTCTACCTTTCTCCAATACGGGAATGGGAAAAGGCCCAAGCCTGGGGACCACGTATGTCGAACGAAACCCAAGTGGCCAAAAGCACCCCAAACCGGGTTCTCTGTCCACTTGTTCCATTCCCCCTCCCAAATGCCAGGGGTGGCCGGCAGCAGCAAGTAAGAGAAAGGCATGGCATTACAGGCTGTTGGTTTTTCTCGCGCCCGAGGCCGACAAGCAAAAAAAAAAAAAAAGTAGCCCGTAGTCTTGCTATGAGAGGCCCGCGATGTCATCATGTTGTGCCTCCATCGTCCCTTGTTGCCGCCTTGGATTTCCCCCCCCTCCTAAACCAGCGCGGTTGTTGTTTTTCTTTCACTGCCCCTTTCCGTCAAAGGACCCTGATCTGATTTTCTTCTTTTTTGACACTTCATCAATTCATATAATTTCCCGTGTCCTTCCCTCCACCCCCCTTGTGCTTGTGTTTGTGCATCCACCGTGCCTTTTTGTGTAAGCCTCTGAGCTGAAAATACTTGATAACCCACATAACCCTTCCCTCTTCTCAAAAACCTGTCAATCACCTCTCATCTCTCACAAGGCAACACGAGCTTTTCATCTTCTTCTCTTTTTGCCTCTTCATACGCTGTGTTCCTCTTCATCTCGCCACTTCCTCGCCATCTCACAACCTTATATACACAAGCAACCAACCGGCTTCTCACGATAAAAGCCGGAAACACAAAAATCTCCGTTTCTCTTCTTCCGTCTCGGTAACTCCAATTCCTGTCGTGGACGTGCCCAAGGAGAATTTTTTCAAAACACACACACACACACACACACACGAATCTGCCGTGTTGCCGTAAAATCATGACTGCCGAGACCACCGTCTTACACGGCCGTCTGCCGTCGGCCCACGGAAACACAGCCTCGCCAACGCCGCGCAGCGGTGACCACACGCTCGACAGCGCATCCGTGCTCTCGAGCTCACGGCATCGAAGAGACAGAGACAGAGACAGCCGTCGCGAGAAAGATAAAGACGACGCCTCCCGGAGAGGACACTCGTCGTCGTCGTCGTCATTTGCATACAGGGACATCATCAAGTCCGTGCTGTCACACGTCATGACCAAGGCCGAGACTCCATCTTCATCTTCACCTTCACCTTCACAGGACATGAAGCACAAGCAGGTCGAGGACGTCGTGAGGGGGCTTGCCATGGAGGAGTGGAATTCGCGGTGGCTGGATGAGCTGGTGGCCAAGGTCAAGGGAGAACGTGAGTTTCTTATGAGATTGTTGTGAGAATAACGTTCGATATTCTAACACTTGTATAGTCAATGATGGAGCAGACCACGCCGACGATGCTTCAGTCTCAGACAACACATCACCATCTCCATCTGAAGAGTCTTCATCAAAGGAATCCATGAAGCGCTATCAGCCCACAGTAGAAGACTACAACGAAGACGAAGACGAGCCCTCGGATTTCGAGTACGGCTTCACGCCCACAGTCTCCGTCTCCATCGACGACACCCAGCCTCTCACCCGCACCTCATCCCAACTCTCCAGCTCCTCCCAAGATTCCTCCTCATCGTCTTCATCCAAAGACTCATCCAAAGATTCCCTCCCCACGCCCCCGAGCTCCGTCTCGTCAGACTCTCCCACCCCACGCCCGACCGTCCGCTTCCAACCCCCCGTCATCCACTACATCACCGAACCACCCGAACCCGAACCCGAACCCGAGCCGGAGCTGCATCGGACTCACTCCCTGCCTACGCACTTGAGGTCTCCCGCGCCGGAGAGACAGGAGCCTTCGTGGACGCTGCTGTTCAACGAGCGGGATGAGCCGACGCCTGCTCTGGGCCGGTTCCTCCGCGGCCTGGCAAACCACATTGTAAGCCTCCAAACCACTCATCCTTGTCTCCCCCCCTTTTTCATCATCCACAATGTCTAACATCTGTAGATTGCCGAGTACTCTCCAACAGACTCCCTCGTCATCACCCCCGACAAGCTGCTAAAGTTCTACTCCCGCTACAAGCTCGACAACGAATTCTTTCCCTTCCAACGTACGTCTCGTCTGCCCCCCCTTTTCTCACCCTCAAACACTCCTCAAACTAAACATCCTCAAACGCAGGCGTCTTCGACACCCGCTACCACAAATCCCTCCGCGGCATCTCCTTCCTCTTCTCAGACCTCCGCTGCGAGCACCACCTCGTCCAGCCCTCCATCGACTCCAAGCCCTCCATCCCCGCCCTCACCCCCGCCGGCTTCGAGGACTGGATGACCCTCATGGTCCGCGCCTTTCCCGACCGCGAGGCCAAGCGCCTCGACCTCGTCCTCGCAGACATGCCGCTCCTCGCAGACGACAGGCACGCCCGTCTCCCCCCCGCGCAGAGGCTTCTCCCCCGCGAGCTCCCGCGCGAGCTGTTCCCCGAACGAGGCCACCCGCGCGTCTTTGATCTCCTGGCTTCCTCGTTTGCGGAGTGGAACACCATCACCGCCGTCATCGTGCCCCCCGAGGCCGTTGCCGCTTCTTCTTCTTCTTCTTCTTCTGCCGCTGCTTCTTCTTCGTCTCATCCTCCGCTCCACGCATACGTCCCCTCATCCCTCCACCAACTCCCCCCCGCCGCAAGCAAAGCCCTCAAAGAAGACACCCGCCGCCACAAAGACGCCTGCTACATCGACCAGACCCGCCTCCGCCCTTCCTCCCTGATATACCCGTCCTCTCCCGCCTCCCCGACATCCTCCTTCTCAACCGTCTCGTCCGCAGCACCACCGGACGCAAAGCCCGAACCATCATCATCCTCCTCCTCCTCTGGCTCATCATCGTCTTCCAAGCACCGCTCCTCTCGTTCCCGCGACCGAGAATCCCGCCACCGCTCGGAGAGGTCCTCCCGCCGGTCCGAGAGGGAGAGGTCCCCGCGCCGGCATCACAAGAGTCGACGATATAGAGACTCGAGCCCGAGCGACTATACGTCTGGAAGAAGCGATGAGAGACGAAGAGAGAGAGAAAGAAGAGGAAGCAACTAAACCTTTGATTCTATTTTATACTTTTTTTTTCCCTTTGTTATGAAGCGAAATGATATCAAGAAAGGGGGAGGAGAAGAAAGGGGGGCCTGGTAATTAATGACAGGCGTGTGATGTGTGTAAGAGAGATTGATCAGTCACAAACAAACATTGGGGTTTCTCACAAGGCTCAAAGATTGAAATAAGCATCCAAATAGCCATGGTCTTATTCACTTAGATAGGTATAATTAGTCAAAAAAACATAAAAGAAAAAAACAATATGAAAATTCAACTAGGAATTTCCGAGCTTCGGATGCTCTAAAGCTACCTTTCCCTTTTCCATTTTCCCTCACTTCACTAAATATCTCATCTCCTACCGTTTACTTCTTCTCACCAACAAAAGTCTCATAAAAGCACAACGTAATTAAATTTCTCATTCACCCTCCATCCCTACCCCTCTACCCAGAAAAATAAAGATAAAAGTTTCACAAAAAAGAATCCTCAGCAAAATGTGTGGACGTGTAATATGTAAAAAAAAAAAAAAAACGACTTATAAAACCGCCACAGAAAAAAAAAAGAATAAGAAAAAAAATCATATTCTGCCCGCAGACACAAACACTTTGTTGATGCGTAGCCCATGTGTAGTAATGAGAATAAGAAAAAGAAGAAGAGACCAAAAAAAGCACCAGCCGCACTAGATACAAAAATAAAAAATGATAATACGAGGAAGAGTAAGAGTAAAAGCAAAAACGTCCTTGGGAATAAACAGCCTTGCGCCCATCACTATGCCTGCCCAGTTTGCGCTACTCTTCATCAAGTCGAGGAAATGCTCATCATGACTGGTAATAAGCACAGTCAAGCTGAACCTCCACTCGACAAGAAAAAGAATGTAGAAATCGTAATAAGAAAATAATGGAGGTGTAAGAAACCTCACTAGTCCATCTGAAGAAAAAAGTCGCAGAGCGTGAATCTCGAGTAGTGGAAGCAAGAAAAGAAGAAGAAACGAAGGACGGCGTATCGAGATGTCGCTCGCGTGATATACTTTTGTTGTGTTTCATCCGTAAAACTAGACTCCCATCGATTTTGCATTCTTCCGGGGAGATTACCGCAAATGTGAAAAAAGAGAATGGATCAAAGAATGGATCGCAATTCAATCAATCTGTATGCTCGTTGTATGCTCGCTCGCTTTGCTTGGGCCACGGGGGGTAAATGCGTTGATGCCCAGTCGAAAAGATGGGGCATTGCGTGTGTGTTTTTTTTTTTTCGATTTGTGTCAACTTTCCCTGCACAAAAGAGAGAGAAGAAAGAAACAGGGGAAATAATCATTCGGTCGAGGCGAAAATAGGTGCGTGAACCAGAAAGGAAAGAAAAAGGTTTCGTGAATCATGGCGTGGTGGAAGAGCGCCGTCGTTTCCCCCATGTATCATTCCGTTTCATCCAATAAAACACCGTTGCCGTGCGTATCGTCGTAAGATGCTTCTCGACATCGTTTTCCCGTAATGCTCCTGTGGCGGGCGACTCCAGTCCCACCGGCAGCCGCGGCAGTGGTTTAAAATACAAGTCATGCTCACGCGGTCGTCGGCGTCAGTCACCTCGCTGACGAAGAGGCAGCTATTGAAGAGTCGTAGCCCAAGTAGCTAACCATATTAGACCGCATGGCGCGCTTCTTCTTAATAGCTCTGTAGCCTTCTTTGAAGACGGCAAAGCATCGCTGCAGTTCTCTGTCTGGGTGTGGTGGCAGCTGGATCTCGACTGCTTTGAGGCAGACGCGGAGATGCGTCAGTTCGGCGTCATTCTCTTGGAGCTCTTCTTCCCTGTCGAGGTGTAAGAAAACTGACGCAACAAAGTGACGAAAGGGGTTTGCAATCATGGAAAAAGTGAGAGGCGATGAGAACAAGGGAAGAGGCCACTTACAAGTACTGGATGCGGTTCTGGAGGAAAATGATGCGTTGGGCAGCCTGCTCAGCACGATCCACCAACAGCCTATGAATGTGCTGCACGAAATGTTTGTTAGCGATACCATGCAGATGAATTGAATGACAACATTGGCAATGATGAGAGTGTAATGAAAAAAAAAATTGAGATGAAATGAAATCAAAAATAAATAAAAAAGCGACTCACATCCGACTCTTCTTGGCGGGCCTTGAGATTGGTGACTGTGTTTTCCAGCTCTTCATTCAACTTGACCAACTCGGCAATAATCTTGTTGGCCTGCACCGCCGTCATTCCCTTCTTGGGCGGGGGAGCGTCCTCCTCCTCCGATTCATCGTGACGCATCATGGAAGACGAGGGAGTGGGGGACAACTGGTCGGTGAAGCGGGATCGATACAGAGACGACGGTGAGCTGAAAATGGCGCTGCCGTCCATGTCGCTGTGCCTGTTCTTGCGGACGGGCGTCTCCAGGCTCAGCGGACGGGTCTTTCGCGACAGCGGCGGGCTCCCATAGACGCTGGGGCTGATGCCGCCGCCCAGGGCCTGCTCAATCTGGTTGACCTGGCTGTCGAGCGCGACCAGCTCCTCCATGCTGTCGCCGTACGTCAGGCGCTGGGCGAGCATGCTGAGGCGCCTGGCCAGCTCCAGCTTGCCGGCCCTGATGTCGCCGCCGTCACGGCTGCGGGTGAAGTCGACCTCCCTCCGCAGGGGGCTCAGCACGCTGCTTCCCGCCGAAAACCCGTAGCTGGAGGAGCCGACGCTGGGGCTGGACCGCATGAGGGGCGGCGGCGTCTCGGAGCCGGCGATGCTGTCTCGCCTGGTGGTGCTGCTGCTGGTGCGGGTGCTCTGGCTGCTGATCCTGCGACTCAATCCGCTGGGGCTGGTGCGATTGCTGGAGCTGCGGCGCCGCAGGGCCTCGAGGCCGGTGGGCTTTTCGTCGTCGTTGTCCCGTCGGCCCATTTTTGCGATGGCGGACGGCGGACGGCGGATGGTGACTGCGGTAATTGGTCGTGGTGACTGGTTGTTGTAGCGGTGGTGCGAGGATTGACTCTGGTGATTGACTCTCGACTCGAGGCTGGACTGGACTTTGACCGACTCTGCCGTCCCAACGACGCCCGAAAACACGATCAAAAAGGAAAAGCGAAATGCGAGAGGAGAAAGGGGATGTCGATATCAATCAGGCGGCAAAACCCACGTCCTGCCGTCTGTCGGTGTCCCGCGCTGTCGACGAAGCCCCCTCTCCTTGTTTTTTTTTCTTCCTCTCCCTCTCTCTCTCTCTCTCTTTCTTCCTTAATTGTCGGCGCTCCCCTCGGCACGCGTCACCGGGACGCCAGACGGGCGCAGGTGCAGAAACTGGTCGGAATCGAGGGGCGCGGCGGTGGACGATGGCGATGAGGGTGAGGATGAAAAGCCCATTGGCGATGCCCAAAGCTGGCGGTTCGGTGACTACGGTAGCCTCTCCCTTATTATGGAATGGAGAGTCCAGCGGCAGACGAGTTTGGCTGGCATTGGCTGGTGGCGGTCCCAGTTCCAGTTCCAGTCCCAGTCCTGGTACGAGCGAGTACCTGAGCGGCAGTACTAACAGCGGTGCGAGTGCTGGTATGTACAGGGCATGGGCATGGGCATGGGCTCACTGTCAGCGCCGTCAATGGGCGGGCGGATCAATGGGGCCCCGTAGCTCCGAGCACAACACCAATCCAATTGCATTGAACCCAACACACTTGCGCCGGGGGATTTGACAAGTCATCACATCACGTTTTTGTGTGTGTGTGTGTTCACTCTGTCTTGGTCTTGGGTTTTTCCCCCGACTAAAAAGCCATCCATATTAATTAAGCTGCGCTGCCAGGTTTCGGGCCCGGACTGGTTCGCAACCGGTTCGCACCGCCACTCGCGCCACACGTCGGACGATGAGAGGCCAGCAGCAGGCGTCTACTCGTACTCGGTATAATCGCGCATTAGAACGGCCAAGTCGAGGGTGTGGCCGCGATCCAATGCGGTGCCTGGGCTCGGCCATTGGCAGGCTGCTTCATAAGCAACATGACGCTTGGGTTGGACTGGACTGGACCGGTACCAAGCAGACGCTCTAAGAGGCAGAGGCAGAGGCAGCCATGTGACGTTTGCATGCAGGGACATGTAAGGGATGTATGTTGGCGTAAGACTGATGCTGCCGCTGTGCTGTGCTGTGCTGGTGAAGAATCGCCAGCTTTATACCTGGCGACGGATGAAGCACAATGGCAAAGAAGAGAGTAAAAGGGAAAACAGAAAGAAGAAGAAAAGGAGAAGCGTGAATGGAAAAAGACTAGGAAACTCAATACCCAGGCACCAGCACGCCGTCTGTCTGATCTGCCCGCCACCCTATTTTCTTCTTCTCTACGGAGTACAAGTACCTTATTCACCTCGACGCTTGCCGGGTTCCCCTCGAGAGGCGTCTCTTGCGGCCCGGACGTTATCGTGGCTTTGGGTACAAGGTCGATAGATGATACATGATATGATGCTTACTGGGTACTCACAGACACACGAGCACACGAGCACACAAACGCGCAAGGTCCATTGGAAATCCAGTCTGAAAGCATCAAGGCTGGCCGCCCCTGACTGGACGACCAAGCCACCATGCAGTCCATCAGCCATTCATCGCGATGCCATGCGAGGGGGGCTTGGTGCCCGTGTGTGTGCCACTAATTGGTTCAAGATGGCGGGATTCATGGCTGAGGGTACATGTACCTTTTCCCTGCCCGCCTTGCTCGTATCGGCAAGCAGCTGTCTTGTGAGCTGTATGAGCCATGTGTGAGTTGGGTATCAAACACCACCCAGACGCTCAGCCGTGCGCCAGAAGTCGTCGGGCTGCTAGATTCCAACCATCTTACATCAATGGCAGTCACCTCTTCGAGATACCGTATCAAACAGTCAACTCTACTTCTACGCCGACGCCCCTCCCCCTCCCCCTCCCCCTCTCCCCTTATCGAAAACGGGGCATCTTCAAGTGATGTCGTGTCGCAGCAGGTGGCCGCATGAAGCCCCCCCTATGCCCGCACACGGAAGCGAAGCCTTTGCAGACGGAACAGGTCGACTAGAGACCGCCACCGTGGAGAATTGAGACTGACGGTGCAGTAGCTCGAGCGTATCGAGTGACGGATTGGGGATTCGCCAGACCCTTGGGTGCCTTGCCTTGCCTTGCCTTGGCTCGACTCAACACCGCTTGTTTGGCTGTCGCTGCGCTGCGCTGCGGCAGAGGCGGATGGCTTATGCTGGTGCTGGTGCTTGCTGGTGCTGATGTCGACGCCTGCTCGTACAAACTTACATTGGCACCGCTGTCGTGCATCGGGCCATGGATGATCCGTCGTCCAATGAAACAGCTTCAATGAGTAGCAAGCAAGTATTAGTCGAATCATACTAGTACTAACAGAAACCATTAATTGCTGAGAGCTTCATAGTCTGTAAGCCAGTGGCCGTCCAGAGGTTAGTAATAGCACCAGCCAATGCAATCACAGGGTGAGCCGAGATAATATCAACATCAAATGAAACTTATTTGATGCATCTAGTCCGGTCCAACTGGCCACCTGTAGCAGATTCTTTCTTGTCGTTCCATACCACCTTCCAGACGACAATCATGTGTCTGCCAGGGGAGTCCCTTGGATCTATATTATGATGGATGACGATAGATGGCCGGCCGAGCATGGTTGCATCGAATCGCAAGGTACGCAAACAAGGCAGGATCTTGTACTAAGGAGAAAGAAGAAGAAAATAGAAGACAAAGGGAAAATATTAATTCTCCGAGCCATGGATGCTGACCACATCCCCCCTTACTGGTGGCGGCAGCTGAGAGATGCGATTCAATGCGCGCGCAGATTCAATGGAACTGGTGGGCTGACCAGGCGTCGCAAGTTTTTTTTTTCTTCCTCTCTTTTTTCCAAGTCATGCCATCTTTATCTACAGTATCATAATGTTGCGAGCTGCGTGCCAACAACCGGGTATGTATGCAACTTCATCTCGATTTTATGTAATTAGCATAGACGGGCGATAGGCGTACTGGGTAAGTTAAATGTACATGTACCTGGCAGCTGTCAATATGCCAGTTGAGGCACTTGAGATGTCACCCAATTGCTGCATGTGCGGGCTCTCCCGTTTGTCCGTGGCCTATTTTGGCAGGGCTTCCGCAGTTGGGAGGACTCGATCCCTCAGCCCGAAGCAATGGAACAAACTGGGTAAACAGTGATTGATTGATTGATTGATTGTTATGTTGGTAAGAACGCTTGAAGACAGACAACAGACAACAATAATACCGCAGCCATCCACAGTTGTAGTTTTGGTTGTCAAAGTTACTGATCCGATCCCTGCTGTCTAGACGCAGCGTAAAGGGGAGACGAGATGCGATGCAAGTTGCCGCTGCATTGGCTGATGGCCGGTGGATTGTGGCTCCAGCCATGACATGAGAAGTGGCATTGATTGAAATGTTTGCCTCCTAGTTCCCCTGCTATCTTGCCTTGTATGGAATGATGGTTCAAACATGCAAGACTCATGGAACTCTTGAGCTTCAACTGATCAAACTGGCGGGCATCTACAGCACAGGCTGCGTATAGCGCCAACGTAATAGCCGCCTGGGCCGCCGGCAAAGTCCACTGCAGTTGAAGACCAGCGCCCTCGTCCACTGACAGTCCACTAACGGCGTCACTGAATCCCCCTGGCCACCACCGCCGTTTGCCCAGAGGGGGGGGGGGGGCAGCCCGGACCCCGAAACCCGCCGTTTCTGGCTGCTGTGAGCTCCGTTCACGCGACTGTGATGGGCATGAGCACGAGCAAGCATGACCACGACGTCACATCGTCGATTCGAGAGCCTCTTGTCTTGTCATCTCTTGCTGGGGGTATATGACAGAGAGACAGAGAAAGAGAGAGAGGACCCCCGTCCCGTCCCGTCCCATCCCCTGGACAGTATCTGTACAGCAGAGATTCAATTCAATTCTCTTCAGATATAAATGCCCACGTGCCGCAAGCCCGGCCCAGACATTAGATCGATCCCTCCCTCTCCGAAGCTCAGCTTCTGCTCTGCTCCGGCTTTGTCGATGCTCCATCCGCACATCCTCGGCTACAGCCCATTTAACCTTACCTAGCAGCTTCCGCGGGGCCGCAATCGCTCGCCACTTTTGAGTCAGAAGCGCCTCGACCTGCTTCAACCATCCCAATTTCTCATCTTACATGTGCCGATGACGAGACTGGTCTAAAGCAGCTTTCAATCTTCTTCTTTTTTTTTTGAGCCCCTCAGCTTATCCTGCGCTGTCCTCCCTTGCGCCGGGCCTCTGCACTGTCTTGTCTTGTCCAATCCTCCGTCATCAATCCTGCTTCGTTTCGGCTCTCTCTGCAACCCGCGCCGCCTCGTTGAACCGCCATTGACCGCTGCCGGAGTGCGACAACTCCAATCCCGCCCCAAACAATCCCACCGCTGCCTCTGCCTTGACCGGGGGACGAGCGCCCATCATGTCATGGCGGGCGTCCGAGACCCTGATGGACACCATCCGGCACTACGCCAAGTTCCCAGCGACTGGCGTGAGCTTGCGCCAGATGGTGCAGTTCGGCGATAAGCCGTCCACAGGTGCGTTGTGCTTGCTTTGACGAATTGGCTGGCCGCTTGCGCGCCGGTTTGTTAAAGAAGGAAAACAAGAGGAGGGAACAAAGAGCGAGGGCGAGAGCAACAAGATCATATGGACTGGACCAACAGCAAGTTCGTGTTGTTCATGTATGGCGAGACGCTGACATCATGGCCCCCCTACCTAGGAACCCTCTTCCGCGCCTCACAATTCCTGGCCGAGGAGCTGCCAATCCGCCTGGCGCACCGCGTCGAGGAGCTGGAGCTGCTGCCCGACGGCCTCAACGACATGCCCTCTGTGAAAAAGGTCAAGGACTGGTATGCCCAGTCCTTTGAGGTACGTCGCACCACAGCCCTCGATGAGCACATGTCAGGTATCTGTCGATGTTGTAGCTAACCCTCGGCCTCTCCTCGTCCTCCCCAACAGGAAATCACCCAGCTCCCTCGACCGCGCCTCGCCAAAGACATCAAGGAGCGCCTCCTGAAGCCCGCCAAGTTTGGCAGCCGCGGCGGCTACGCACAGCTCTCCGAGTCGACGCCGAACCCGTCCATCGACGAGGGCGAGGCCTCGGGCTGGGGCCGCCTACAACTCCACGGCAACGGCCACGGCAACGGCAACGGCGCATCAACGTCAAACGGCCACGGCAAGGCCCGGTCCGTCGCGCGGCGGTACTTTGCCACGGTCGACGACACGGGCGACTGGCCGCCCGAGCTGCAGCTCTACAACCAAAAGTTCGCCCAGTGCCTGCACAAGATCAAGCGGCGGCACGACAGCGTCGTCACCACCATGGCCCAGGGCATCCTCGAGTACAAGCGGCGGCGCCAGCGCATGCAGATCGACTCCAACATCCAGTCCTTCCTCGACCGCTTCTACATGTCGCGCATCGGCATCCGCATGCTCATCGGCCAGCACATTGCCCTGACGGACCAGAGCCACCACCGCGACCCCACGTACGTCGGCGTCATCTGCACAAAGACAAACGTCAAGGAGCTGGCCCAGGAGGCCATCGAAAACGCCCGCTTCGTCTGCGAGGACCACTACGGCCTGTTCGAGGCGCCCCGCATCCAGCTCGTCTGCAACCCCAACCTCGACTTCATGTACGTCCCCGGCCACCTGTCGCACATGCTCTTCGAGACGCTCAAGAACTCGCTGCGCGCCGTCGTCGAGACCCACGGCATGGACAAGCAGGAGTTCCCCGTCACAAAGGTCATCGTCGCCGAGGGCAAGGAGGACATCACCATCAAGATCTCGGACGAGGGCGGCGGCATCCCCCGCAGCGCCATCCCCTTGGTCTGGACCTACATGTACACCACCGTCGACAGAACGCCCAACCTCGACCCGGACTTTGACAAGAGCGATTTCAAGGCCCCGATGGCCGGTTTTGGGTATGGCCTGCCTATATCAAGACTCTACGCCCGCTACTTTGGCGGCGACTTGAAACTCATAAGCATGGAAGGGTACGTTTTCCCTTCTTTCCTCTCTCCTCCCGTTGAAACCCCCCTAGTCCTCAAGCACTGACTCCTTGTTTCCCCCTCTCCAGCTACGGCACCGACGTCTATCTCCACCTCAACCGCCTCTCCTCCTCCTCGGAACCCCTCCAATAGCAATTAAGCACCGCCCACGCAAGACCCCCATCGGCCCTCAGCATCCGCAGCAAGCTCAAGAGCAACACCAAGCGCGAGGTCACTGAGCGTCGGCAGGTGGGGGACGCCGAGGCGGTGGTGAATGCGCCTCCGAGCAGCTTCCTCCCCAAGGACGACAAGGAGCTGTGAGAAGGAAGAAATTTCCTCCCCAAGGACAACAAGGAGCTGTAAGAAGGAAGAAATTTCCTCCACGGGCACGACAAAAGCAGCTATAAGAAAAGAAGGGAAGAAGGAAAAAACAACGAATACACATACAACAACAACACACCAAAAAAAAAGGGAGCACTCTACCTTGCCTATTTTTGACAAAGCATTGTAGAATCTACAAAGCATACCACCACGAGGTTACAACAACACAACAAACCGGCTTCTCTCAAGCTAACGAGAGAGGAAACCACATCACGAATCAATCATGTTTATTATATTGGATATGACAGGACATCATCAAAAACAATGTTGGGATTTCTCAACTGGGGACTTTTTTATTTTAACCGCATCAGGGGGGCCTTTTTTTTCCAGTCAAAAGAGAGCCAAGGGTGATGCGTGTCAACAAGTGTCTGAAACACAGAGGAACAGGCAAAACAAAAAAAAGGATACACGGAGACGTGTTTCAATGTACAAGTGTAAAGTACAATTTGGGATGGATGCTTGTCGCAGCATAAGTAGGTCGTCGGGTGTTGGCCATCAAGGAACGGGACTGGACTGGGATGCATTTTTAACATCATCCACCAAGCAGAGGCTTTTTCAGCCATTGTTGGGATGCTGGGAGTGGAAACGAAATGTATATCATCCACATCATCAATTTTTAGACTAAATGAAAACCATTGCCATCATGTGCCCGGCGCCGCGTGTCTCCCCTATAAGGGCTCATGGCGAAGCTGAAATGAACAAAATGCAAAAATCAAAAGCAAAATACGTCTTCCTCGGAGCCAGTATCCACGTGCCTACACTAGTAATCCTCTCCATCTTCCTCGTCCGGCTCGCAGCACTTGGTCGTGTCATACTGCACTGGGCGATGATGCACAGGGCCGGGATCTCGAGCCGCAACATGGTGGTTCGTGCCGACCTGGCGCAGCTCTGTCTGGGACATGCGTACCTAGGACATGGTCAGTCGAAAGGTTGAGTATGATATAAGAGTGCAAACGACATACAATCTTTGGCCATTTGCCTCTGGCCTGGCCTTGCGGGTTTGGAGCACCGTCTTCTTCTTCATCCGCCTCCGAGGTTCCCATGGCCGAGGTTCCCATGGCCGAGCTTTCCGATTTGAAGCCTCGATGTTGGATTCCACTTGGATCCCAAGCATTGAAAGACACTCGTCGCGCTTTCTTTTCGAATCGTGCCTCCCTCGCTGTCGTAGCTGTCGAAATACTGCTGGGGTTTTCACCATATTCGCTATTGCCGGCGTAGTCGGACGAAGCGTCCAGTGAGAGGCCTTGCTGCACCAGAGGCCTTAGGTGAGGAGGCAGATGCTGCGCAAACGAAGACTTGTTGGACGCATTTCGTCCATCCGTCGAAGAAGCCAAGGAGCTTCTGTCTTGTCCAATAGAGCCTCGCAGGTGAGGGGGGAGTGCGCGGCTCGACGACGTTTCCGAGGCCGAGTACTCGGAAGGGGCGCTTCCTTCAATAATGGAGGCCACTTCGCCATCTTCTAAGCCAAGTGATGAATATCCGGTAACAGGAGCCTAGTGCATAGTCAGTATACGCGATCATTCAATGGGCCAAACGATTACGTGCTTGGGGATAGGCATCGTCAGAGAAGAAGTCAGTGCTGTCGATAAACCTAGCGGGCCACGCTTCTCCACGCTCCTCTTCAATCGAGATGTGGCCGGTCTCAAGAGGCTCGGGTACAACTTCTGGCTCCTGGGTTTCAGTCCAAGCGGTGCATCTCTTGCAGCTCTTTGGACAGGTCAGCTGGCTTCCGCGCATCGTATTGTTGGGTTAAGAGGGGGGAGCATACAATACTACCATTTCTCTTGGTATTGCCGCTGAACGCAGACAAAGGCTTAACAAGGCCGCACAACTCGCACGTCATCTCTGTGCGCTGGCCAGCTGAGTGCTCTCGGCAAGTCATTCCCGAGTTGGCTGCATTGATGCGATATCCGCCAGTCGAGTTGCTTACGAGCCGTTGTTGATTCTTGGAAAATTCATCGAGAGGCTTCCATTCTCCGCCGACTTTGCATCGGAATCTGGTGATATGGGTCAAATCAAGTGATACAAGGCGATGGAGAAAGGGACAGGAGCTGGATTGCGTATTCGTACCTCGTTGGATTGCCCGCTCTGGTCGCCCTACAACACATGAGTCAATGTTTACGCCTCCAATATGAGTGAGCAAGAAGGGGGGGGAATGTGAGGGCTCAAGCAAAGAGTTGTATCAGAAGGAGAAGAGGCTCCAAGGAGATGGGCTGGAAACGAGCTGGCGTTCAACTCACAAGTTGAAGTTGGCGTTTTCCTTTCTGTTGGCCATGCTTCGTGAGTGGACTCTCTTGATCTGCACTATCAAGGAAAGGAAACGAGAGAGTTGTGCAGGGCTCAGAATAATGTTAAGTATGAAGAAGAGAAAAAGGAGTGTGCAGAGGTTGGAAGAAGGAAGAAGGAGGGAGGAGAGGCGGAGGTGGAAGAGGAGAGTGTACCTTATAGGCGCAGCGTTGAATCACAGCAAGAGTCAAAGTCGGTCAAACTCGCTCTTTCTATCTTTCCAGAAAGCCGTCAGATTCAGGCATCAAGATTTGCAAACGGCAGCGAGCATATCTAAATAACAGGTCTGCTATTGTTGTATCAACGGATGGCTGCAGGTGGTGCAATGCAATGAGTCAATGCACCATTATCCGAGGTGAGGGAGATGCACATGACATTCAATTCTTGCGTCAGATTCTATCTGAAGCTGCAGCAGCTGCCAGGTGAATCAAGGATATCGCAGAGTCAAGATTTGTTGTGCAACTATATTCGCCAGTGAATGCATATGAGAGATGCTGCAAGCTGCATTCACTAAAGGGCAGGTTGATCACGCTCAAGGCAAACGGCCAAGTGCTGAAATGCTCATTCTTGGCTCTCTGTGTCTTTGTATACCAAAATATACAAGTAGATGTCGATGATCTCTTAACATGTATCGTTGGTCTTCATATCGTTGCTAAATGCTACACATTGTAATGATAGGACAAGTCTCATACCTCCCCATCTACCAATGGGAAGCTACGCGTATCTAGGAGCTGTGCATGCGGCGTAACAAGATGTAGTTCGATTTTACCGCAAAAGAGCCTTCAACCTGCTTTTTGTAAACTAATTCCACTTGATATCCCAGCCGTGGAGTCTATAGATGCCATTTGGTTTGGCGTTTTTGCAGCATGCGTGGTGATGATCTACCCTACAACTGGAGCACTCGAGTAGAATGATGTCACCGAGGATATGTTGTTTCAAAACTCCAGTCATCCATGGCGATCCGCATAATTCGTACAGACTGCGCCATACAAGTACTGTGCCTCGTTTATGCAAACATTTCCATCGTAATGCCGCACACTCTTCTGACAATGGGCTTGTTTCATCAAGTCCCTCCCCATGCATGCAAGAAATAGCAGACACCATCTACCCAACCACAAGGTTGAAAAGCACCAGACATCAACCCACACTCGTGATTTACTGCAACAGTCGACAAGGCCCCATGTCCCGAATACCGAGATTGACACACACGTGCGGCGCGATAGACTGCCACTGCCACCTTGTAATATACAGGTACAGGCATGTTCGGGGCTCGCCTGAAATGGGCTTCTCCATCGTCCAAAGTGCTCGCATCTGATACGAGATGAGTGGCTATCCGCGAAAGCGCCTGCAACGCAATGCCCACGGGAATCGGCCTATCAAACTGGTGAGGCCCAAGCTGCCGACCTTTTCGCATAGTCCAATGCTCAGGCTACAAGACACCAGATCTACGACAAAAAAAAAACAGATAGGGGCATCGGAACAACGCCTGGTAGCATCAAGACGGGCTACGGGATTTCAGTGGCAGGGCTCATGTCCCGTCCCATGTCGGCAGGCCATCCCGGAGTCTCAACAAAGAGGCCACTCCACTAAAAAAGGATCAAATGGATTTCCCGCGCTTCTCGATGCTTGCTGGGCGTCCGACTACAGTATCTACAGTAGGTTCTTTGTTGCCACGCTGACCTGGGGCAGGCTGTACGAGGCACAATGGCGATTCGGTTTGGACGTTGAACGCAGAGCGGCGCCCGACGGCTGTCAAACCGGTCACTGCTTCTGACGAATCACTCGATGAGGTCTGTTTTTTACCTGGGGAATGTCCATTCAGCATGGCAGCAGATGCGAGAGAAACATAGTTATACTAATAGCAGATATTACTCCTGTTCCTGTCAAGAAGCTGCTGGTGCTGGTTACATGTACATATAGCACTACTCCGTACTGCAGGTACCATCATGGATAGCTTCAATCGGGAAGAGCAACAGCACAAGATGGAAGGCGAGCAATCGAGTCTAGCCCTGCCATTGCTCACGTCTCGTTCCGTCTATCTGCCTTTCGAAGCTCCTGATTCCCGCTCCTATAAAATCCCCACTCCACCAACAACGAGGGAAGGGGGAAAATCGCCACCATCTCAGGCACAAAAAGGATGCATGACAAAGTCAGTGTCCCTAAACAAACGCCACAGCGGAAGAGCTCTACCTACATGTAGGCAAGGCACACACATTGCACCAGTTGTGCAAAGTGCAGTGCTCAACCTCCCCCCCAGGTACGAACGAGCACACACCTGGAGCGTCTTGTGCAACGGTGGGATGGCCTTTTTGATATTGTCAGCTTCCCCCAGGCACACCCCGATGACATGCAGCTCAGACATGCGGCGGGAATGATTCCCCGGGGGTTTGTCTCGCACGGTCTTTGCGCTGGTTTCCGTCTCACAAAGAGAAAGAAACACGAGGGGCTCTTTGTGAAGAATTTCTCTCTTTGCTTTCAATTTTTTTTAAAGCCGCGAGGGGGGGAAGAACATAAAGCAAACAAGATGCAATTCTGTCAGGGGGGTTGCTGCCGGAGCCGCGGTCTAGAGACATCGGAGTTGCAGCCGCTGCAGCCCTGATGCAAGGGGAGAAAGCAGGCCCTGGGCGATGCAATACCGGCCATGCGGAACTACTGGCACAAGGATGGAGACTCTGTTGCAGCTGGGGGCTGGAGTGAAGGCGAGTCTGTGCTTGGCACTAGCAGCCGGTTCAATGGTTGGGATGATGCAGGTATGTATTTTGCACCCATCCCATCTCGTCTCGTCTAACGCAATAATACAATGAGGCACATGTATGATATGTTATTGGTGGTGGCGCAACAACATGAAATGATGCTGCCTCTCATTATAGGAATGAATATGGAATGCCAAATCAGTCACCAACCAACTGAAAAGACATCATCTTGAACGGGCAGTCCGGTTCTGGCTGAGCACAATGTAACCGGAATCCTGCCCCGTAAGCATCCAACTGAATACTCGTCCATGGACAAAGCCTTCTTCGCTCTCTTGTCTCTCGTCACTCGTCAGCCCATCAACGGCGCCGGGCGCATGCTCGCAGAAGTGAGACACGCCCTTTTTCGATAAAGGCCCTCGGCCCCTTGGCGCTTGTGCCTGCAAAATGCTCCGACTCACGTCGTTCTCACCTTGATTCGTCTGCCAACGGCGTGCCACCGGTGACACCACGATTTCATGGCTGGATGTGACATGAATCGCCTCGTAGCCGCCACGGTTTTTCTTCTTTCCATTCCTCATTCCCTCTCTTTCCTTTGTGCGCCTGTGTGTGTGTCCCTGCATTACGAGCCAGCCTTGGACTGCCTTAAAAGGAGGCCAATGCATTGATACACTGCAGTCCCAAGCCTTCCTCAGGCTTTTCTAGACCGCGAGGCTGCAGATCTGGAGGACGGCTACCAAGGTACACTACATGCCACCGGCCCCTCTCTCGGATGACATTCTCCTTTTCGGAGGAGCAAGTTTTTATTTGTATGTGTCTTTTTTTCTTTTCTGTGCGCGGTTCGCACCCGTATTAGGAGCAAAGGTATCTTGACTTGGATGGCCCCAAGATGAGAGCTTTGCCGTCTCGGCCCCCAATACCAAGTACATCCAATACTGTACAGGCATCTGACGCCGCCAATACCGAGCAGGAGGCGAAAAAATTGAATGGAGTACGAGTACATGGCATGTCAAGATACCTGTTCCGCGGCAGCGAGCCGTCATGATCCGGAGAACGTAGCAGCTCTTCCGGCGCATCCATGCTGGAGGGCTCCAATGGATTTTTAGAGCGGGTGATTCTCGAGCTCATTCATGCAGTGGCGTTGTGAGATGTTAGTACGAGTAAAGCAGCACTCACATTGTTCAAGCGCCGACAAAGGAACTTTCCAGGTTCTTTCATCCAAGTATAACCCAGCATGCAAAACATGGCAAGGCAAGGCAAGGCATCGCCGTGATGCGCTCGCGCGTTGCTGGAAATATAAGGAGCTTTGTTGGGGCCGGTCCAATTCACCAATCTCGCTCTGTAAAATGGCGGCCATCAGAAGTACCGACCGGGCCAGCGCTGGAGAGAAAATTCGCACATGCAGCAAAGTACAAAGCACGCATGTACACGACGCATGCTTCCATCGCGCCGGGGTACTTTGGAACGGCCGTTTGGCAGGTACCTCGCGCCGGGAATTGAAACATGGCAGAATTTCCCATTTGCAAACCGGCTAGTCCCGGCTGGGGCTAGGCGTTGTTGGATTTGCTTCTTGTAGCGGACTAGCCGCGGCGGGGGCCCCTCTCGGCGTTCCAGCATCGTCGCGTGTGAGTGCTTCGCTTATGCAGCAGGTGGAAAGAGAATGAAGAGAATCTGAAATGACTGGATTGGATTGTATCTCTCCCGAGTTGTGGTGTGCATTGCATTGTTGTTACGGTGCGCGTACTCGGTACTTTGCATCAAAACGTGAAATCTTGCATTGACTTGCTGACAGCCCACGTTTTATATGGACGTGACAAGTACAGTACCCGTACCCTTTGCACGCCGGCGCTCCGTATTCCAGCCGCAAGACACCAGACAATTCGACACAAGACAGACCCCCGGCAGCTCTGACTGGCCGTGGACCTCTCAAGCGACCCTGGCGCTGGGCACAATATTGTCGAATAGGAGCGCGGCAAAATGTGCCCCGGGAGCGCTGGTGTGCTGTGCTGGCACCAGGCCGGCTGCCCTGCCTGGGCCCTCATCTGCAGAGATGGGCGCAGTATATCGAGCAAAGTACTAGCGCTTCGATTTCTGGTACAGACGATACTTGCACTCCGTACTGTTTTTACAAGCATTAACATGTTCTTCTCCGATGCTCCCTCCAGCACCGCGTATATATGATACTCGTACTCTGGTAAGCAAGGGGGAAATTTTTTTTCCACAGTGAAACACCTGGACGCAGTACCGAGTACAAGGTAAGCCGTAGATTGTGTCGAGTCGACGAGTATAGGAGTGGAGGGCTTGCACGTGTTGGCGCTTTGGCACGTTGGGCTGATATCGAATTGCAAGGTTGATATCAACAACAATGCCTAAAGCACGTACTGCAGAGCAGCTATCAAATATCACTAAAATACGGTTTACCGTATGGATGCCCTCTTCATACCTTATTTACCGAATGGCCAGGTCTCTTATTGGCAGCAGATATGCCCATCCATGGCCACAGGCGAAATGGAGCAGCCTAGTCGCCTGACGGGAATCCCCTCCTCCTTGCAACTTCTCACGGAAGCGAAAAAAGAAGACAAGAGTCCCCCCTTCAAAAAAAAAAAAAAAAAAAAAAAATAGAAGAAATCATTTAAAAAGTGGCCTCTGGAAATTTCTTCTTGTTTCCCCTTCTCTGTCCGACCCTTGTCCGCCACGCAGATTGCCCAATTTGAGCGTGACAAAAGGAAGTTCTGCGATAGATTCCAGGCCCCACTTGATAAATTAAAGAGACGGAGGTCCCTTTTTTTTCTCTTCCATTGCTCCAGCACGAGTGCGGCATAGTGCCGGGTTCTGGTAGGTAACTTGTGTACTTTGCATTTGTAGCTTTCAGCAGACGAGCTGAGAGCGCGGTACTTGTGCCCGCCGGTACCGCTACTCTAAACGTGGCTGCGGAATACGGGGTGGCGTGTGGTAGCACCACGGCGCGGGCTTAGTACCTGACGCGGGTGGTTGGGCGAAGGCCACATGTACGGGGTACAACACGAGCTACCAGGAGCTACTGCACCGCGACCGTGAAAAGTGCGGTCAAGCGGCGGTCGTGGGAGCTTTGCGAGCTGTGCGCACAAGTCACTGAGCCTGCAATGGCGCGTACCGGCAACCTGTGACGACCTGGGCGGGTGGCTTTTGATGGGCGTTTCTTTGAATGGGCGAGCATAAACCGTCCGTGCTTGTGCTCGTTTTTTATTCCTCTTCTGCACGCTTGTACCACCTCCTTAGTCATAATCAATTAATCAAATCACAGCGAAATTTCTGGCCAAAAGGTCGCCCATTCATGCGAACGAACGGCGGCGGCGGAGCTGTGATCCCTGCCTGGTGACTGCAGTGTCCTTGTCGAGCCCATGGCATGACGGGCCTTTGGGGTCACCCCATCGCCCGTAGCAGAGTAGCACCAGACGCTTTTTCTCTGCTTTGGACCTAGACCACTTCGCTTTTTTTTTTTTTTTTTTTTTCCATTGTTTTGCAGGGCTATTCACTGAATGGGAATGATGCTGTAGCAGTATGTACTTGACAGGTACTTGCAGGTGTATTACATTGATTGTATTACGGGTGCCAACCTGATGAGCAGAGGTTGAGTCGGAGCTGGTTGAAGAATGGATTGATTCAGCGCTGCGCGTTTGTGCGGCGACGGTTGAACAGCAGCTGAATTCAATGCAACCGACTTAATATTAACTAGCTGTTTTATGATACAAGCCAAAAGAAAAAGGAAAGAAGAAAAGAAGAAGAAAAATAACGGAAAAGAATAAGGGAAAAAAGAAACAATGCACGGACCGTGAACATGCAACAAGTTACGAGTACCTACACAGAGATTCACACTCACACAAGTCGACAGTGAAGTGACCTCCAGCCCCCTGTTGGCACCCTGTTTCTGCCGCTGCTCATTCTTTGGCTCGTCTGCGACACGCGCCTTTTCAACCCCCCCGGCTAAACACCAAATGGTCTGGAAATGCACCGGGCTGGCTGGCTGACTGCCGCGCTTCTGCCCTGGCCTGCTGCTGGCCTGCTGCTGGTCGACTGGTTCTGGTTCTCGTTCTGGCGCTGGTGCCCGCGGCCTGTCCACTGACTGGCCACAATATGCACCGTTCGGCGACGCTCAATCGTCCAACCCTCGACCGCCTCCCCGCGAGTGAGAGAGAGAGAGAGAAGAAGAAGAAGAAAAAGGATTGAACCCTGTCGGTTTCTGTTGACGCTCCACTGCTCTGCTTTGGTCGCCTTTCTCCGTCCTCACCTCGACTCAATCTCACCAACCGCATCATCATCTCCTCGCCCCAAATTGCAGCAACTTTCTCACTCCCACCTGCTACAGTGACCTACAGGCTACAGCCCTCGCTGTATTGAACTCATCTTCCCGCCGTATTCGCCATCAATCTCAATCTCAATCTCCTTCTCTTCCACTTCCATTTCGTATTTTGCCAAGCCGAAGCGGGCTCTCCCAATCCAGACAGGCCCAACCAATACTAATTTAGCGGTCCGGGTCCCAGGATCCCTCCGCGATCAGCTGGGTCTAGCCACTGTTGGGAGTCCTGTACGGGTACTTGTAGTGCCAGAAAGTACTGGACCAACCCCCCCTGGCTGGGCCGTTGACATTGTCGAGCTCCCCTTTTTCATAACCTCCAAGCCTATCCACTTTGAAATCAATCCTCACTTCAGTCACTCCTTACACTGACCTCCTTTCGGCCTTTTTCTCCTCCATCTTTTTTTTTTTGGAATTTCACGATCTCGATTCTTCTCATCCGTCTGTCTGCGTCTGTGTCTGTGTAAGCGACGTCAACCCCAACCTCACCTCACCTCACCAAAACTCCCGACGACAAACTGCACCAACTTGAACCTCTCTTCTCCCCCTTTGCCCTACCTGAATGCCACGATAAACGATCTGCAGCTCTGCGACAGAGCTCATCTCTTGCGGGCCAACAGGTGTTGTCTTTTTTTGTTTTGCCTGTCGATTTTCTTTCTTCTTCCTTCTTTTTTCTCCTCTGTTTAAAACATTCGACTGGCCAATTCTTGGGCCGTTGTTGAAGCTGCCTCTGCAACTTCATTGATAGCGCCCCAGCGCCCACCAGTCTCAGTCGTCAAAACTCTACACCATGACGGCTACAACGGAAATGACGCTGCGACAGCAGCCTCACGGCAACATGGCGCTCGAAGACCGCTTCGAGGTCGTCAAGGAGATCGGAGACGGAAGTTTCGGCAGCGTTGTCCTGGCTCGAACTCGAACAGCGGGTGCCGCCGTCGCCCGTCGAGGCACTCTTGTAAGACAGCTCAGCTCAGCTCGGCACAACCAACCTCGGCCTGGAATCCCCATTGCTAACCGCATCCCAGGTGGCCATCAAGTCGATGAAGAAGACGTTCGAGTCCCTGGCGCCCTGCCTGGAGCTCCGAGAAGTCGTCTTCCTGCGAACCCTGCCGCCTCACCCCCATCTCGTCCCCGCGCTCGACATCTTCCTAGACCCCTTCACCAAGAAGCTACACATCGCCATGGAGTACATGGAGGGCAACCTGTACCAGCTGATGAAGGCCAGGGACCACAAGTACCTCGACAACGCAAGTGTCAAGAGCATCTTGTTCCAGATCATGCAGGGTCTTGAGCACATCCACTCCCACAACTTCTTCCACCGCGACATCAAGCCCGAGAACATTCTCGTTTCCACCTCGGCCCACCAGGACACCTCAAACTCCTTCCGACGATACTCTGCCCTCGTTACACCGCCATCGACCCCTCCCACCTACACCGTCAAGCTGGCCGACTTTGGCCTCGCCCGTGAGACTCACTCCAAGCTGCCCTACACCACCTACGTGTCCACCAGGTGGTACCGCGCGCCCGAGGTGCTCCTGCGCGCCGGCGAGTACTCGGCTCCCGTCGACATCTGGGCCGTCGGCGCCATGGCCGTCGAGATTGCCACCCTCAAGCCCCTCTTCCCCGGCGGAAACGAGGTCGACCAGGTGTGGAGAGTGTGCGAGATCATGGGCAGCCCCGGAAACTGGTACAACAAGGCCGGCGCCCGCGTGGGAGGCGGCGAGTGGCGCGAGGGCACTAGGTTGGCCTCCAAGCTGGGCTTCTCCTTTCCCAAGATGGCTCCTCACGCAATGGACACCATCCTGCAGACCCCCCAGTGGCCGCCTGCCCTGAGCCACTTTGTCACCTGGTGCCTGATGTGGGATCCCAAGAACCGTCCCACGTCCACCCAGTCTCTGAACCACGAATACTTTGCCGACGCCACGGACCCGTCGAGGCCCAAGTCGTCCGCCTCCAAGATCTTGGGTCGCAAGCAGTCAGACATCAGCCGCCACTCCAAGGAGGGCCTGGCCCCCTCAAACTCCGTCTCCAAGCAGTCGTGGTTCCGCAAGTCCCTCATCGGCCGCAGCGACATCCCCGAGACCATCGTCGTGGCCCCTGCTCAGCCCTCGCCTGTCCAGACCTCGAGCACCGTCGACGTTTCCACCACCAAGCAGCCGGCCAAGCCCAAGCGGAGCACGTGGGCCAACGGCCTCTCTGGCGTTGCGCCGATGCCGATTCTGCCCTCCATCAAGCCCATTTCTCCCCTGTCCGACGCCGTGACGGCGCGTGCCAACAGCAACGCCGACAGCCAGGACAAGAACAAGAAGCTGGGCCGGCAGCTCTCCGTCAACTCCAGCAGCAACAACTACACCGAGATGCACCGCCAACAGGCCGAGCGTGCTCTCAACGGACAGACGGGCCTCGCGTCCCCTCCCAGCGCCCACAAGGAGAGCTTCTTCTCGCACCTGCGGAAGCGTGCCAGGCGCTTCTCCGGCCGCCACCAGACCCCCGTTTCGCCCGCGTACGACGACATGGAGGCACAGGTCGGATGCGGTCCCTGGAACAGCAACCGGTCCTCCATGATTGTCGACCAGCAAGTGGGCCCCATTCCCAAGGCCGAGTACGAGTCTCTGGATAAGACCCTCAGCGACGTCCAGGGCTCTGAGCCACGCGCCCCCGTGCCCCAGTCGCATCAACTTGCCGCCGCCGGGAAGCTCAAGCGTCACCACTCGCTCCCTTACCAGCAGCCGCGATCCGTCGACAACCTGATTGGCGCCGCCAGGAACGGCCCCGTCTCGAGCCGCACCCGACGTGCCCAGGCGGTGCAGGGCGTCCAGCAGTACGAGGCACCGGCCGAAGAAGACGAGCTCCTCGACGAGGTGCTCACGTCGACGCAAAAGGCCATGAAGCGCCTGGAGGGAAACGGCCAGTCGCTGCGACAGTCGGCGAGCAACCTGGGCCTGTCGACTTCGCAGCCGTACCCCAGCCCGTCACCGTCCGCCAACAGCAACCAGCTGCTCTACGCCGACGGCGCCGAGGCTCTGGCGCCCAAGCCCCTGGATCTCAGCAAGAAGACGGCCAACCAGTACAAGTGGCCCACCCCGCCATACGAGGGTGGTGAATGGAGCGCCTCGGCCTCTGCCAGCATCTGGGCCGCCGGAAACCGTATCTAAAAGACGGACAAGAGAGACGTCATTAATATTTTCTCCTACGGTGGAGTCTCCTTTGTCCCCCTTTCACCCCCCCTTTCTCTCGGACATGTCACTGTTGAGTGGTGAGGCAAAAAAGTTGTTTTTTTGTTTATTAATATGGCGTGTACTATTTTTTTTTCTTCGCATGATAAATGGTGTTTTGGTGTTGGTTTGCGGCACATATTTCCTCGCTCCTTGAATCATGAGTCGCCGGGTCGACCATCATATCATTATTATTTTTTTTCGACATTTTTTTTCCACATCTTCTTTCGATTGGGGTATAAAAACTCGTTTTGGTTTATTTCTGCGTATCTCGGCTGGCACACAAACACACACACACACACTACTACTACTACTTGCTACTTATTGCTACTACCACAAAATGCGTACCGTTACCATACATCACCCTCGAGGGGGCCTTTTTCGACATAAACAATCGAGGCCCGCAGCCCGAGGCAAGCCTTGGATTTATTTGAAACTATACCTCTACCTACTCTTTTTTGGAATTTCGATTCGCTTTTTTCTTCAAAATCTTGAATTATTTTTGAGCACACACAAACTCATGGCACACTCCGAAATACCCCGTATAGACCGAAAATAAGAAAGGGCGAGCATTGCTTGAAGCAAAATATACCTCCACATAGTAACACCAACTTTTTTTTTTCCTTTGTCAACCGATTTTTTTTGTTTCCTTTATACCAAGAAGAAGAAGAAGAAGCTGAAGAGGAGGAAGGAGGAAAGAAGAAGATGGAGATTTGGGACGGAGTCTGTGGCGTTTTGTTTCTTAGTTGGATATTTACGGTCGTTTTTTTTCCGATAACTTTTTTCTTTTTTTGCGCAAGATTCCAGATTTTTTTGTGAGGGCGCATATTCTCCATGGAGACGGGAGTTTTTATGTATTTTGCGTTTGAAGTACAGAGTACACCCCTCACAATTTGTAAAAAGCAATGAAGCATAATTTATTCTTTTTTTTTATATTATATATATCTCCTTTTTCTTCTTTCTCCTTTATTGAGTATTTTCTGTGCTTGTCGTGTGGTTTGAATCGTTGACTGCCTACATTATTTAGTTGTGATGATGAATGGCTTCTAATTGTTGGAGCTTTCTGTTCTTCCTGGCTCATCGTAGGTGGAATATTCTTTATATCGGAGTGTTTTATATGGCAATGTCATGACTGGTCCAAGGTTACCTATAGCACCCGAGTATATTAGGTATCTTGAAAAAGGAAGTCTATTGCACGCATTCATCAATCTGTCTTTGCGCAGATATACAAAATATGTATGTACTAAGCACGGGGTAGAACAAGAGCACTGAATGGAATAGGAGCACCGAGTAGAACAAGAAGGCCACCATACATACTGTACCTAGGTACCTAGGTATGCAAGAATCCCGCTCGCTTACACTGTACATTTTCGTGGCTATATCTTGCTGCCTGAACGGTCCAAGCCGCTCCCAGTTTTTACCATGCCATTACCAGTACTCCGTTCCTTTACCGTATCTTACATATCAAACAGTTCGTCGTGTGCACTTGTAGGGATTGCGGGTGGGACTGCAGTGCATTAGTATTGGGGGGAGGTGATGCATGATTCTTGCATGGCGAGAGTAAGCGCCAGCCAGATGCGTCTCTCGTGTCCGTCTGACTTGGTTCTTGGGACAAGTGCTGTTCGTCTCCGTTCCTTTTTTTCGATAAGGAGGGAGTGGTGGACATGATTATAGATGCCTGGGAAGTGCGGGTTTACTGAATCTGTATCTGCATCTTGGTGGTTACATGGACTTTGTTGTTGCCTGGCTTACGAGATGAAAGGGGGCGGTTTGTATAAGCAGCGGAGCGATGGGATGGGATGGGCATTTTGGGCGCAAGGCAGAGCGAGATGGTGTGTACTTGTGCAGTCAGTAGCGGTATTGGCGGTGTTACGAGTACAGGTAGGTACCTCTTTGGGGGGTCCAACAGGCGGAATCTGGCAGCCTTACGGGAACCTTGTTGGGGGCGTGCTGGTGCTGTGCTGTGCTGTGCCACGTCGTCTCTTTTCTCTAGGGTCTTTTATCATTTTTTATTATGATTTGATTATTTCTTCTTTGGGGTTGGGAGTATTTCATTGATCTGTCAGGCCATTGGATTGGATTCCGCCCATGATGATGGGGCAAGTAACTGTAACTGTACAAGGGATAGGTCAGGTTAGGAGGTATGTACATGCACCACCACTGCGATTGCGGTGCACAGTTACGTACTCCATCGCGCAGTGCCAGTTGTAACTCCGTAGCAGTGCACCAGGGATTAAGAATGGAAGAAAAACCGGGGACCTGTCAGAATGAGGCTCTGGAGGGGGAAAAAGCTGCCATGCACAGCCAAAAGGAAACATTGGAAGGCCGTCTATGTAAGCAGAACAGTCACGTGCCGACGCTAGACCCCAGACGGAAGAGAAACGAGGCGATACCTGCGGAAAACCAGCGGGAACAAGGTCCAGCTGAGGCAGCCTTGAGAGTAGCCAAACAAGGGGAGAGAAAAAAAAACAAGTGCAAAGCCATCATCAGGCAACAGAATAATTTAGACGAACGGGGGGCCTTTTTTTTTTTTTCTTCTTCTTTTTTATTCTTACCTGAGTCTGTGACAGGTTGGCTCTTTTCTTATTTTAACTTCTTATTTATTCTTTTATATTAATTCCTTCAAGAAAGAGGGGGGTTTCTATATGGCTATTTATATCTGGTGACGAGCGCCGTGCCTGGAGAGCGCTTTTCTGCTTGTGCGGGTCTGTCTTTTGCTTGAACCATCAGCAGCGAAGAAAGACATCAAGTGGGCGACGAACATTTCCCGAAAGCGATTGCGATTCTCTCGTTCCAAACGGCTTGTTGGTGCACCGAGAGTCGTTTGCGGGCATCTACGTGGCATCTGGAGCGGCTTCAATTTCACAAGAGGGGCGGTTTGCCTCATCTCCTTGTTGGCGACTCCCGAAGTTACTCACCCGCGAATAGCATCATCCATCATCCATATCGCATCTCGTCATCTGTACGGCTCGCCACGGAAGGAGGAAAGGCGGGAGAAGAGAGAGGGGCGTAGCGCGATCCGGGCCTCTCAGAACATGAGCCCTGGTGAGCTCACAGAGAGCTGAACAACACCAGGCGAGACCCCAACACCGACAAGGCAGGGAGACGAACCGCTCGCCGCTGCATGACCGCCGGAACCCGTCGCCGAGATACCACGCAATTGAGGGCGCCGCGAGTCGTGCTTTGTGGGAAGAGATGCAGAACCTCGCGCTGCCGGTGCGCACGAGCGCCAGTCGGCGCAACCAGGAGAGCAGGAGTTACTTTACGAGCTACACGCCGCCGAGCTCTACGGAGGCCATCAATGGGCCGGTGAGGGAGCCGGTGAGGGAGCAGCCGCCGATGACTGATCGGTTGATTGTGGGGGTGGATTTTGGCACGACGTTTTCAGGGTGAGTGAGTGAGTGAGAGATGAGATGAGGATGAGATGAGATGAGATGCGACTCTTCCCAGATCTTAAGCTAATGCCGTTCCAGCGTCGCCGCAGTGTACACATCAACGCCAGACGACGTCGAAATCATCAAGACGTGGCCAGGAGGCAACGGCATCACCTCAGACAAGGTGCCCACCGAGATTACATACAGCTTCCCCCCCGACGCCTCGCCCGGCGCTGAGCCCACGGTAAAATGGGGTTTCCAGTTCAAGCCAGACGAGTCGAGGCTCCGGTGCATCAAGCTGTTTCTTGATCGCGCCCAGAAGCTCCCCTTTTACGTCAGCCCCCTCGACACGGCGGCGCAGCTCAAGAAGTTTAACAAGAACGTCGTCGACGCCGTCAGCGACTACCTCACCCAAATCTACCGGCACACCATGGACACCCTGACGCGGCGCTACGGAGAATCCTTCATGGCCTCGACAAAGGTCGAGTTCGTCCTGACGTGCCCGGCGGTTTGGAGCGACACGGCAAAGAATACGACGCTGCAGGCGGCTGAGCGGGCGGGCATGGGCAGCCGCTCCGAGATTCAGATGATTAGCGAGCCTGAAGCGGCGGCTGTATACACGCTTAAAGCGATTCAGCCCAATCACTTGAACATTGGGGACAACTTTATCGTGTGCGACGCAGGAGGCGGCACAGTGGAGTGAGTTTTACATCTACTGCCTTTGGCGTGTGAGATGGAGCTGACGGAAATCCAGCCTAATTGCCTATAAAATCATATCGCTAAAACCCTTGAGGGTCGAAGAGTCTGCCGTGGGAACCGGTGGGCTGTGTGGAAGTGCCTTTTTGAACTACAGGTTCGAGGAGCATGTTCGGACGAGGTTGGGCCAGGCCCGCTTCGACGAGATGAAGACGAAAAAGGGCAAGACGTGGCAGATGGGCTTGCGGTACTTTGAAGAGTTTGTCAAGCGTAATTTTAACGAGGACGAGCATCAGGAGATTAATGTCCCGTACGTTGCTGCCCTGTTTACTTACACCCAGCGATGGGACTGTCTTTTTGGCTGACCTCTGTTAGTTTTCCCGGACTCCCAGATGACGAAGACGCAGGGCTGGACTCGGGATTCATGGTCATGAGCGCAGAGCAGATCAAGGAAATCTTCGAGCCCGTCGTCAAGGAAGTCTGCGATCTTGTCCAAGGCCAAGTCGAAGGACTCCGTGCCAAGGGCGGCATCGTCTCGGGCATCGTGCTGGTCGGAGGGTTCGGCCAGAGTGACTATCTATACCGGCGTCTCAAGTCGCACTTTTCGAGCGCGGCGCCGCCTCCGTACAGCGAGAGACCGACGCATGCGACCGCGAGCGCGTCGCAGGACGGCGGGTCGATCGAGGTGATGCAGCCGGTTTACGCGTGGACGGCGGTGGTGCGTGGGGCGGTGCTTCGGGGGCTGGAGGGCAACATGGTGATTTCGAGGAAGTCGAGGATGCACTACGGGACGTCGTTTGCGACGGTGTACGACGAGGAGAAGCACTCTGTGAGTGAACGATACTGGTCGCCGCTGTGGGAGCGGTGGATGGTGTCTGATCGGATGCAGTGGCACATTGCCAAGGTGAGTTTTCTCCTCCCGCCCCTTATTGTCTCTTCTATACCTTTTGTTCGGTTCGACAACTAACAGCCAACAGGGCGAGGCGCTTTCTCCTCTGTCGCCCATTGCCTTCCACTACACCCGCAACTTCCGGCCGGGCCAGTCTCTCATCGTGACGGACGACCTGATTGCGTGCGACGCGGACGAGCCGCCGGCGGCGCACACGCGCGACCTAATCAACGTGTGCACGCTGACGACGGATCTGAACGCCGTGCCGAGGAGCCTGTTTACGCGGTTGACGACGACCAGGGGGGTGGAGTTTGACAACCTCGACTTTACGCTGGAGATGATTGTCGACAGTGCGGGGTTGGGCTTTGAGCTCAAGGTTGACGGGGTGCGGTATGGGCGGGTGGAAGCTGAGTTTCACTGAGGGAGAGAGAAGAGAGGGCACTGAAGAGTGAGGGCACTGAAGAGAGAGGGAGAGAGGGAGAGGGAGAGGGATATAGGAGAAGGATTGAGGCTTGTCTGATGTGATATAAGCGCTATTGACCGGATTATACATACATGGTCGTCTGTATTATACAGTAATTTATACAAGGTGGTTACCAAGATCTGTGTCTCTGTCTCTCTCACTTGAGTCTCGTACTTGGCCATATACACTCAACAAGGACTCCATACATGAGTTATATTCCCCAAATCCCCATCACGGGGCTGCAGACGGGCCAAGACAACCGTCGATACGAGAAGTACGATGCCAATTCTTAGCCCCTAATCTAACAATTGAAGGTCTAGGCGCTGACATAAGAGTCAGGTAACCTGTACTTGGATGCACATGCACTGTACAGTACTGAACACTGCACTACAGCGTGCTGCTTGTACAGTCAAGTACAAGCATGTACAGGTATGCTCAGCTAACCTTCTCCCTATCGGTCGGCTTAAACCCTCCCGAACCAAACTTCAACTTCGCAGTTTAGTGACGTGACAACCTCAAGCCCGCACTCATCATATCGGATATTCGGAAGTCATCGCAAAGCCTCGCACAATCGCCCAGAATAGCACCACCCCGTCGCTGCCATGAGCCAGACGCAGAAGCGCTGCTGGAACTGTCGCCGTAGGGAGAAGCCGCTCCAAGCACTCACCCACCCGCTGATCCATGGCTAACCGCCAACTGCAGAGCAAAAGATTGCTTGCGACAAGACGCTGCCGCACTGCCGCAACTGCGTCAAGAAGGGCCGCCAGTGTCTCGGATACGGCCTGAAGCTGTCGTGGCCGCGCAAGGGCGACGAGAGGCGGTCGGCGTCGTCGCGCAAGGAGCATTTCATCATCCCTATCCGGACCAAGGACGCCATTTTCATCAATGCCACGAGCGACGACGTTAGGGGGTCTCAGGACAACGGTGTGTAAATGCGGTTTCGAGTTCGATGTTGAGTCTCGAGTGTGTTTTTGCTCTGGTGGCTGACCGACTGACTTGTTTCACGTATCAGCCCTGGCTCGCTATGACGAAACCTCCTTTGGCGAGGTTTGGTTGACGCGGCAGCCCAACTTTAACATGGCAAGGCTGGATCCCTTCCTTGCGTCGCATTGTAAGGCTGCTCAACTGGAATGTGCTTGTATTGCTCTGCTGACAGGAGTGGTGATGCAGCCTTTAGCCCAATTGCTCGGCTGGTCTCTTCCAGTCAGAGTTGTGATGACTTATACGGGTTGCTAGTCAGAATGTCATTTCAAGACGACAGCTTACCGTCGCTGGCGTCGAGGTATGCCATCAGTGCGCTGTCGTATCAGCATCTGGCCATGGACAAGACGGCCGTCATGCATCAGACGAGAGCGATCCGAGCGCTCCAGTCGGCGATTGAGACGGCGGTTCCCTCGGAGTGTATGCAGTTGATGGCGGCGAGCATGCTTCTAAACATTTACGAGGTTTGTAACTTCTACACAAGAAGTTTTTTTCTTTCTCTAAATGGACTACTTCGAGTAGAGGGGCTAACGGACAATAGACGCTCAACTTTGACACGTCGGATCTCAGCTGGTCCATCTTCTTCTGCGGCACAAAACGACTTGCCAACTACGTCACCAAAACGGACGACACCTTCTTTGGGGACGAGGCACTCATCATTGACTGGATCTTTTACCACGACGTCATGTACAAGTTTAGTATTCGCCATTGGATCGAAAAGAACAAGGATCAGATCATGTTGGCGTCGCAGAGAAAAGTTCTCTCCAAGGCCGTGTTTTCGCCAGAGAGACAGACGGTAAGTCTTTTCTTCTATTTCGTTTTCTTATTATGCCTTCTCCAGAACTATCGGCAGGAGGCGACTGGATTGAGAGTAAAACTCATACTGATTGATTCACTCAGATTGTTCCCATCCTTGGCTGCTCCTTGGAACTGCTCGACCTACTTTGCCAAGCCGTAGATACCGTTTACGAGCCCGGTGACCCCGATTACCAATCCGAGTCACACCTAAAGCTAGTCCGATCCCTAGAGATTCGCCTAAAGTATCTGCAGCAGCGGCAATCTACAGTATCGTCCCTAGATGGGCTCGAGATGAAGCAGGAGGCAACCGTTGCCGAGCTGTATCGCCTTTCCGCCCTCATCTATCTCCTGCGGATGGCCAAGGGTGAGCCCGATAACTCGAAGAACGTTGTCCCCTTGGTCGACCAGGCGTACGAGTTGCTCGACCAGCTGGTATACTGCGAGCGACCCTGGCCCCTGTTTGTCATTGCGCTCGAGGCGCGTTCTGAGGAGCACCGCATGCGCATGCTGAGGGTGCTCGAGAAGTCGCTGGAGCGTCGGCCGCTGGGGCCCATGAGGCTGGTCAACAAGATGATACCCGATGCCTGGACGCAGCAGGATCTGCGCGAGTCGTCAATAGATCCTTTTACGCTCTACGGCATGATTATCAGCAGGCACCGGGTGCCGCCGTGCTTTACATGAATGACCGGATTGCAGCAATTTAGAGCATCTGTTTGTTTTATCTTTTTAAGGGGTTTTATAAGGTATGCTATGCTTTAGTCTAATTACAAAAAAATTATAGGGATATTTCCCATTCTTTTCCCATTCTAGTTCCACAATCTATCTCGTGCCGTCCATGTCAAATCATGTAAAAAGGGGGGCGGGAGGGGGATTTGAAGGTAGCCCAGGAGGGCAATACCGCAATGCAAAAAGGAAAACCAAAAGGAAACAACACCAGGAAACGTCATGCTAAAAAATGGATATCATTCACACGATCCTCATAACCGTCAAAATTTTCGTCATTGCTTCCTCGAGGTTTTACGCGCCGCTGAGAATAATCTCGCCAAACAGCTTCTCCCGCTTCATGCCGAGGGCGCTGAGCATGTGGACGCCGCCTCCCACACAGACTATGATGAATGCCTTTTGCATGGCCTTTGTGATGGCCAGAATGGCCTGGTCCCGGAGCTGTCCGGTAATCTCCTCAAAGATGGTGCTCTGGGCTCCGGCAATGGCGTTTTGGATGTCGGAGGCAGTGAAGTTGGTGTTTGCCAGGACCGAGGTCAGGTTCTTTGTGGCCTCGGACTGGAAGATTTGGCCGGCAATGACGAGACAAATGACGGTGCCTCCGATCTGGGAGACGTTTTGCAAGGCGAGAGCACCGCCCTGGAGTGCGGGCTCGACCTTGAGGGAGGCGACGGCGTACCCGATCTGGAGCGACAGGCCAGCTCCCACGGCGGTGAGGACAGTGAAGCCATAGATGTAGCTGGTCGGGGTCGAGGGGTCGAGATAGGCCGTGAGGAGGGAGCTGCCGAGAGTGATGAAGAAGCCGGCGACGAGGAAGATGGGCATGTAGTATCGGATCTTGGACAGAAGGTGGCCGGCGGCCATGTTGAAGCTGACGGTCAGGACGACAAAGGGCAGCAGGCGGACGGCGGCGGAGATGGCCGAGTCGCCGTGGACGAACTGGAAGTAGATGGGGATGAAGTAGACGACGACGAAGAGAGCGGTGATGTTGGAGGCGGTGGCGATGAAGAGCAGGACCTGGGAGCGCGAGCGCAGCAGGTGGATGGGGAACGAGCGGTCCTCGGGCGTCGTGAGGATGGAATAGGTCTGCTGGATGGCGTAGGCGATGGTGACGACGCCGAAAGCGACAATCATGCCGATGGTGCGGCCGTCGTTCCAGGGCCACTGGCCGCCGGCCATGGTGAAGGCCATGCAGAAGGTGACCCAGGTTCCCGCGCCCAGGAGCAGTCCGAGGAAGTCAATCTTGACGACGCGGTCCCGGACGGAGACGCCGACGACGGGGTGGATGGCCGGCAGGCCGAAGACGTAGATGGGCGCGAAGACGCCGCCGATGATGAGGTTGATGTAAAAGGCCCATCGCCAGGTCGCGCTCGACTCGACAAAGGCGCCGCCGATGACGGGGCCCAGGACGGCGCCGATGCCCCAGCTGAAACCCGTGCCGGTGATGTACGTGGCTCGCTCCCTGGGCGTCGTCAGGGCAGTGAAGTAGTTGAGGCAGCCCATGAAGACGCCACACCCTCCCGAACCGGCAATGACTCGACCGACGATGAGGGCCGTCATGGTAGGCGCGGCACCGCAAACCGCCGAACCGACGCTGAAGAGGATGACGGCGGCGGCGTACACCCACTTCATGTTGAAGTTTCCATAGAGCACGCCGTAGAGCAGGATGCAGGAGACGGAGCCGAGGGGGAACCCGGCGCCGATCCAGGCGAGCTGCTCGACGTGGCCAAAGGCCTCGACGACGGAGCCCTGGACGTCGGCGGCGATGGTGGTGTCGAGGCCGTAGACGAAGGTGGTGACGTAGAGGGCGACGCAGATGAGGATCCAGCGGAAGCGGGAGACCTGGCGGCCATCTTGTTGTGATTGTTCGTTGGGAGGGGAGGATGGTGTTGAGGGGGATTCTTCGTCGGAGGAGAGGGGGGGGGTTTCTTTGTCGATGCCGGGGGTTTCGGGGGGGGAGAAGGCTGATTGGACGGTCATTGTGGCGGTGGTGATGATGCCGTTGATGTTGTTGTTGTTGTTGATGATCGGGATGCTATCGTTGTTATATAAAGTAGTGTTTGACTGAAATCGAGTCAGGAGAAAGGAGATGCTTCGAGAGTGTATATATCTATCTACAGTTGATTATATATAGATGTATATACAAGACCCAAGTCGAAGCTGACTTGCTCCCAGCCAAAGCATCAATACAGCAATAGAAAAACCAGCCCCATCAGCAGCAACCCTCCCCTATATAAACGAAAACGCCAACAAACAACACATGTCGATGCAAGAAGCAACATGTTATGGAGCCCCGGCCCTTGGGTTTCTAAGCCCGTCGCCAATTTGTCAGCCCCCCCCCCCCCCAGCCAAGCCCAACGACTATAGCCGTTCAGCCCCAAATATTGCTTCAGTAATGTGAGAGAGACGTGGAGAGAGGGAAAGAGAAAAAAAGATTGCATCAGCACCGGCTTTGTTTAAGCATATCTGCCATTTGCGGCACGACGATACCGAGAGTCCCCGCCGTCGCTTTAGCTTGGGTGAGACCTTGGGTATACATCCAATCAGGAGCGGTTGAGATGCCGTGTATGTCCAATGAGAAGCTGGAATGGACGCATCTAGGCTTAGCGGTGGGCAAGTTTTGGCGAAAGGGCTAGACTTGAAGGGGTAGTGGGTGGTGGAAGAGGAATACTGTAGCAAATAGTTGCCCGTGTTGTTGGTGTTGCTATTGATGATGGGGGAGAAGTGATGGGAGGCTCTTTTTTGCGAAGGGGGGGGGTTTTTGGGTATATATGAAGGGAGGAGAGGTTTTTATTACTTGATGATGGGTTGTTTGGATCTCTTTTTGCGCTGGCAGGGCTGAGATGGGAGATTATCTGTTGGTTTTCATCACGACATAGATTTCGACTCAACGGTTCGGCTTCTCTCTGTGTGTCTTGTTTCTCTTACACACGCAACTCCCCACATGTTTGATTCTCATTGTTTTCTTTTTATTTGATTTTATCCATCATCATTATTTTATAACTTGCTCATCTCCTCTCCCTAGCTTACATTGGCATCATCTCTCTCTTTTCTTTTCCCCGTCGCCAATCCATCGATATCCATCTCCTCGGCCTTAAACTTCGCCCCCAGCGTCCATAGCACCGAAAAAAACCCCTACAATCGGCGCTCGGCTCCACCCGTTTTTCGGCGTTGAAGCATCGTTCCCCACGCGGGCTTATCGCCATTAGCCGGCAAATCCCTTGCAGGGTCTTGTGTTTTTTGTTGACGTCGTATTTTTGCGTATTGGGAAAACCGCGCCGTCGATGCTTCTTGTTTTCTCTTTTTCTGTTTGTTGCTTCTACCCAAGTAACTGCTAGGTACATTGCTAGAGGTTGCGGAGTAGAGGTTCTTTTAGAATCATGGTCTATGTTGTTTGAGGGCATCGTATACCCGTATTCCTACGGATATACAAACCAGCGGGCAAAGTTGCCTGCTTAGTACAGTACGCACGTTTTTTGTCGGAATAAGAGTCATTCATTACATGACATGACATCCCTGCTGCTTCATTACGTGATGCAGCAAATCCGAACCCGAAAAGATGTAGTATTTCAAAGCTGATTAAAAAGATGAAGGAAATAGGGAATTAAGGGAATTATTAACACGGGCCGGGAAGCGCGAGGAAAGAGTTCGAGGGGGCGTCTCCAGTGTAGGGGAATACCGTTTGCTGTTTTGGTGGTGGTGGGACACCATTTGCCGTTTTGGGATGGTGAGAGCGCATCACGATTGTGTTTGTGTGTACGAGTACGAGTAGTATATTATATATGGGCCAGTTGCCACTCTGCAAGGGCCCCTGGAATTGGAATTGGGCAAGGAAATGCTACTGTAGATTTGGAGATTTGGAGTTGGCACGGGATATGGACGAGTTTTCTCTTTGGGAGTTGGATAGGGTATAAGGATGGAGGTACGAGGAATGTGAGCTTGGATGATGCAAGGGATGGTGTTGACAAGTGTTGTCCAGGGTAGGTTTCTATGATGCTGCGTTTTCAAAAGAAGAGATAAAACACCATGAGATTATAGAGAGAAATGTCACTTGTGTTAAACAAGTCCAATGCATGGATGGATGCTCTGCTATGAAACAAAAGTGAAGCTCAAACCATCTGCTCAGTTAGCGCCTGATAAAACGGGACTTGTAGATGTCAAGCATTCCCCCGCCACAACCCATGTATCGCGTTAACAGAACTCCAACACACCAACGGAAAAAAAAACGCTGTGGCTAGTGCGGGGGAAAATTTCAGCTGCGCGAGTTCCAACGCTTTGGAGAGAGTCTTGCATTACATTATCGCACTATCGTTGATCTAAACAGTGCGGCGACCCGATTTGGCGGTACGCTGTGCTTGTTGTTCTTTTTATTTGTTTTCTTTGTTCCCTTTTAGAAGTCGTTGCTGTGGTGAGACGGCGGTTGTTGACGGGGCTGAGTGTCTTTATCGTGTCTTGTCTGGTTGTTGGATTCTCGAGACAGCCTCGTCTTTGATATCGCAGCCTTGCGTTCACCTCACCTCGCTCACTCACCCACTCACCTGGGACTCGCCGTGTCTCATCTCACCTTGTCAAAACTCACCTCATCTCATCTCATCTCATTACATCTCATCTCACATCTCACTCCATCTCACAACAATGGACTCCGTCGACGACCGCATCGCCCTCCTCCTCAACTGGGCCTCCTCTCACAACGCCCTCCTCCACCCATCCGCCCAAATCTACGACGACCCGGACACCGGCCTCTCCTTTCGCGTCAATCCCTCCTCATCCTCCTCCATCCCCCCTTACGACCCCATCGTCAGCCTCCCCACGGGCCTCTCCCTCTCCTACCTCAACGCTCTCAACCCCACGCCCGCCTTCCCCAGCGGCTTTCTCTCAAAGACTCGGCCCCACGTCGTCGGCCGCCTGTTCCTCATCAAGGAGCTCCTCAAGGGCCAAGACTCGTTCTGGTATCCGTACATCCAGGCGCTCCCCCAGCCCGAGGATTTCGACGACTGGGCTCTGCCGCCCTTTTGGCCCGAGGAAGAGGCCGAGCTGCTCGAGGGCACGAATGTCGAGATTGGGCTGGACAAGATCCGCGAGGACCTCGGCCGCGAGTTTCGCGACGCGAGAAACTTGCTGGTTGCGTCGCAAAGGGACGCCGAGGACGACTTTAGCGACCATCTCACCCGCGAGCTGTACCAGTGGGCGTACTGCATCTTCTCGAGCCGCTCCTTTCGGCCGTCGCTGGTGCTGTCCGAGGAGCAGCAGCAGTCCCTCCCCGAGGGCGTCGGCGTCAACGACTTTTCCGTGCTGCTGCCGCTGTTCGACATTGGGAACCACGACATGACGGTCCACGCGAGGTGGGATCTCGCAGCTGGAGACGAAGCCGTCAGGGGCTCAGGGGCGGCCGTCCAGCTCAAGGTCGGCAGGGAGCACAAGCCCGGGCAGCAAATCTTCAACAACTACAGCCCCAAGACCAACGCCGAGCTGCTGCTTGGCTACGGCTTCATGCTCCCCGTCACCGACGCCCTGCACAACGACTACATCCACGTCCGCAAGCGCACCGCATCATCTCCCCCCACCGCGCCAGCCCAGCCCGGCAGCTCCTCGCCCGAGGAATATCTCATCTCCCTCCGGCCCATCTCGCATCCGTCCTCCCTCCTCGCCGCCTCCAAGCAGACGCTCAACGTCTTCCCCCCTCCGCCGCTGCCGGGCCTCCTCGGCGCCTTCAAGCACGTCCAGCACGACATGGTCTGGGACATTTTCCTGACGCTGCTGCAGCACTCGTCCATCCCGCTCATCAAGCTCATCCCCCTCAACTCAAACACGTTCCCCACCGAGGAGGAGGCCGTGCGCCAGCGACAGGAGCGCTTCTTCTCCGGCCACGTCAACGACGAGTGCCAGGACTACCTCGAGCAGACCGTCGCCATCATCCAGCACAAGATTTTGCAGGAGCTCGAGAGGCTCAACGAGACGGACATGGAGGTTGTGGGCGAGGACGCCGAGTTGCTGTCACCGAACCAGCGCCTGGCGTTGGAGTATAGGGAGCGGTGCCGGCGGGTTTTGGAGAATACACTGAGCACCATGGGAGAGGACGACATGATGCAGGATGACGGCGAGTGAGTTCAAGTCTACGCTAAAGAAGAAGAAAGAAAGAAAGAAAAGAAAGATGGCACGAGTTATGAATCATGACGGTGTGGACATGCGGCTGGATGACGACCCGGAATGGATAGAAGACGTATAAGTATAAATATATATATATAGTAATGTTATTCGTTGAAAGCATTATACCGCAGACGCTCGCTGCCGTGTTGAAGCACCCCTCTATTCTACGTATTTACAAAATCATTCGACCTTTTAAAAAAAAAACTAAACAGGATATCATCATGGCGACTTGAGCAACGGGTCCTTCAGCTCGGCCTGCATCAACGCCTCTTCTAGCGGAATCTCCTTGAGCGCGACAATCTTTGTCTTTTTGACGTACTTCCATATCAGATACGCCGCCAGCACAAGCGGAATGTCTCTTTTTTCACAAGAAACGTTAGCATCAGATCGATCAACGGCATTTCAGCTGGGTGATGACTCACAAGTAGGAAGAGACAAAGCCGCTGGGGCTCCAGTTGCCCTTGGTGAAGACGACGAAGCCGTTGGTGAGCAAGATGATGCTGCACATGAAGAGTGCCGCAGACGAGCTGTACACTACATGATGAGACTCTAGTCAGCAAGCAATTCACGGAAGAATGTAGATGCACAGAAAACAGGCCAGAAACTCACAGGTCCAGCTGTTGTGCCACGGCAGCCGCGTATACGGAATGCCCTGCACCTTGAGCGCCATCCTCAACCGCACGTGGTTGAGCACGATGCAGATCCAGCTCACCAACACACCCGCGCCGACCAGGTCCATCAGCCAGAAGAAGGCAGTCAGCGCGCCGCTGCTCAGCGTCATAAAGGCCAGGAACGAAAAGACGACGAACAGGCTCACGGCCACGTACGGCACGCCCCACGAAGTCGTCCGCAGAAAGATTCCGGGCGCCTGTTTCTTGAGCGCCAGACCGTAGAGGACGCGGGTGCCCGAGAGCAGGGCCTGGTTCGAGGACGACCACGCCGAGGTGATGACGATGGCGTTGATGACCGAGGGCACGGCAGGGTATCCGGCGGCAGACACGGCAATGACAAAGGGGCTCTGCGCGGCGGTGCCAGAGTAGTCGCTGAGGCGCTCGTCGTCGGAGCTGACAATCATGCCGACGATGAGAATGGCCAGCATGTAGAAGAGCAGGATGCGGATGAAGACGTTGCGGCAGGCCCTGGGGATGGCCCTGCGCGGGTTCGCCGTCTCGGCGCCGGCCATGGCCAGCGACTCGACACCGGCGAAGGAGAAGACGGCGCCCGTCATGACGCTCCAGTAGCCCAGGAACTTGCCCCAGTTGCCCGCGGCAATGTACTCGACAAAGGGCCCCGGGTTCTTCCAGAAGCGAAAGTAGGTCGGCCTGACGCCCGGGATGCCGCCCAGGTCGATGACGAGGCCGAAGATGATGAGGAAGACGACCATGAGGATCTTGAGCGTGGCGAAAAAGGCCTCGATCTCGCCAAACCACCGCACGCCCGAAAGGCCCACGGCGGCGGTCAAGATGATGAAGACGACGATCCACACGCTCGGGTTCAGGTCCGGGAGCCAGTACTCGAACAGGACGCAGATGGCCGTGATCTCGCTCGGGATCGACAGCAGGTTGCCGTACACCAGGTTCCAGCCCACGGCAAAGCCCAGCGCCGGGTCGACTAGCACCTCGGCGTGCCTCACAAACGATCCCGTCACCGGCAGCAGGGCCGACACCTCTCCCAGCGCAAACTGCACCGCGCTGACAACCATGCCAACGGTTCCGTATCCCAGCAGAGCTCCCAGGGGTCCGCCCGTCTGCACCGCGCCGCCGAGGCCCAGGAACAGTCCCGTGCCGATGGCGCCCGCAATGCCCAGCATGGACAGATGCCGCTCCTTGAGCCCGCGCTTGAGATGGCGCTCCTCGGTGGCGGTGACGAGGTCGCCGTCGAGGTCGCCGAGGTCCTTGACGGGGTCGGTCTCGCCCATGAAGTGCGAGGGCGCCCGCTCGACGTCCATGTCGTCGGTGACTTTTGTTACTGAAGCGTCTTTTCCATGGTCGTAGCTGTTGTTGCTTGTGGTGTTGTATCCTCCTGCTCCTCCGTTTCCGCCAGATCGATCAATCAGCGGCGACATTGTGGTTGGAGGTGCTCTTTGCCCGTTCGTCATGCCCTAATATGATCGATATGCCGTGCTTTTCTCGAGGCCAAGATGAAGAACGATGTCCAGTGATTATCTCTCCCACAGTCAGATTTGAATAATTTTTTTCTCCGCCTTCAGCTTCTGCTGAACCTTGACAAGGTCCTCAGTCTCTCCAGTGAAAAGACGCAATCGAAGCCTCCTCTCCGCCTTGTCTGGTGTCTCACTTGACCCCTCGCTTTGACGTCGTCTCGTCGCCTCCGGCTGGAAAAGAGCAAAACCGCGTGTCTCATCTCCAACGAGCCTCGGCCAGAGCCGATTGATATTATATAAAAGATTATTCCCTCCGAGCGCCCACCGGACGGGCTTAGTGTCGGATTAGCACTGATATCGCAATCGCAACCCTGGCTGACCTCACCCGATTTTTGTGTCGTACAAGTAACTCGCCGGGGCTCCACATTGCCATTCTTTGGCTGTTTTGGGTATCGAAACACGAGATGGATTTTGTTGATGGAAGGAATGTTTGCTTTTTGGGAGGGTGGTGATGAGATGGTGATGAGATGCCCGTACATGTACAGTTGAACAAGTTTGCCTCAGGTGTCGAGTAGCTGCAGCATTTCAATGATTATGTCAACGCAGATGCGCTCTATTGCCATTCATACTGAGTGCAAGTTACAGACCGTAGGTGCTGATTCTAGCGCATCGTGGCGTCTTGTCAAGGCCCCTAAACCGAATGGTTTCACGCGCTACAGAGCCCTGGAGGACTTTTGCATGGAACCGATTCGGCAAACGGGGCCGTCAGCACCTTGAAAAATCGCGTGATGGGAACTGCGTCTAAGTAAAATGGGACTTCAAATGTTAATATTCTTTATCAAGGAAAATACTAACCAGCACCTCGACTCTGCCATCCAACATCCCAGCGACTGCATGAGATTCAAGTACCGCAACAGGTTGCAAATACTTATCACTTATGTGGCTTTAAATTTGAGATTCGGGATGCTGGCTGGTGTTTCCCTATCGATATCTCATCCCTCGTAGCCTAGGTATTCCACTTTGTACCATAGGATAGTTCACCCAGCATTTATTTCTCTTGCAGACAAATGTCTTTTATAAATATATAATGCACAACGACTTGGCTCAAATTGGCATCAATGGCACAAATCGCGAGTTGTGGGGAACTTGATCATCTTAGCTTCAATCTCGGAGCTAGTCTAACTAAACTGCATCTCTACTTGTTGAAGCAAACGTCTGTCTATCAATCTGCCAGGGAAGATGTAAACAATCTTGTCGGATTCCATTAATGATGATTCTCCATTAGATTCTTGCCATTAGATTCCCGCTTGCAAGCGTCACGGATGGGATGAATCTACGACCAGCCGGTTCCATCATACAGCTCAAATAACCAAAGACAATCCTGCATTCCGCTGTACGCAACAGAACAAGGATTCATGTTGATCATATCCTTCGATGGGACAGGATAGAGCTAGGACTTACTCTCGAACATGACTGGCCTCAGCTCTCGTATCGTCTTGGTTGGAGTCGGGCTTGTAACGAGAGCTTTGACAGGAAAGGCTATATCATCTTTCTTTATCAGAGTAGGTATGGAATGTCAAGTACATCCTGAAGCCAGCTGAGGCTGGGGGGCGTTGCCGGTTGAGTCTAGTAATTGTATAGAGAATACCATCCAATAAGCTGTCAGGGAGGTTGGGGAGGTTGGGGAGGGCGTGGCGCGCGCCCTGGCACATGTAGATACTCTCTCATGTGATAGAGAATGATTCATTGCATATTCAAGCTCTATGGCTCTTATTGACATGTTACCAACTGGTCCTACCTTGGATATCTAAACTGATGACATAAAGTAAGCTTATATGCTCAGTTGACTGCTGCTGAATCGTTACCAATTTAAATCATTCGAGTCTCGGATCTTTTACAAAGCTGATGACTCTTGGGAGCCGTCTCAGCCGTCTCAGCTGTCTCAGCTGTCTCAGCCGCCTCTCTCTTCCCCTGGAAATAGAGCCTATCCATTGGTCGCATACTTACCGAGATTGCATGCCCAGGTGCATATTGATTCAGCCCAACCCCGCCCTCATAAGAGCCCAATCTATTCAACACTTTATTAAGAGGGTGCCTTTTTTTTCGTCAAAGTGTTCTGCCTGTGCTTCTCCATGATAATCCAAATCTAGTATACCTGACATAGATTATTTGTCGAATCACATTGTGCGCCAACATTATATCTTTTTTTTTCTCACTGCTCTTTATGATCAAGCAGTACCTACAGATATTTAAAAATCGAAATCGAAAGACCGTGTGCATTAGAGGTAGTCATGGCGGATTACATTCCATCAACGCCAATCCCCATCACAACGAGTATCGCCGCTATTGTATTCCTCGTCCTATGGTTATCAACCAGAAACAAACAATGGCCAATTCCGCAACCACAGGCCACAAAACTACATGTATGCCAGGTTGTAGCTCTGTAGTTGATTTAAACGACATGGCTAATTTACCTACTCTAGAGCCCTGCAGTTCGCAGATCATTAACTTTCAGAATTTCCAACATACCGCTAGAAGTGACCAGAGACAAGCTTGAAGATATCTTGGCCGGGCTAACCAAGACAACCGAAACTGGTCATGGTCAATCCAATGTGCTGCGCTTCTCATATTCGCCCGCTGCAGTCTCCATGCTTGCTAAACGTTTTGCCGTGGCCACTGTTACTTTTGCAGAAGCTCCCGATTTGGGCGAGCTAGAGAAATTTCTCAAAAAGACAATCGGCGATCGTGGTAATGGATTGGTTGTTGATTTGGATTTCTTGGGTCTTACACCACTGGCTGACCCTTTGCAAGATACTCTTGTGGAGTAAGTCTCTTGATATCGTACAAGGATATTCAA